GCGGGGCGTCACGCGCAGGCGCCGCGCATGGCGCGGGGTGTTCTCCTGCTTCCTTCCCCCGTTCACTGGCGCCCGCCCGCTGCCGCGCTTTGCCTTTGCGTTGTCGGGCCTAAGGCCTGCAACCTCGGGCGCGCTTCCAATGCGGGCGGGGTCCTCGCGCTCGCACAACGACGGGAACCACGGGCGCCAAGACGCTCCGCCTTGGTTCTTTCAACAAGAAGTGGCGCAGATGCTTGGCCCCGCCCTGCTTCAGAAACCTTTTCCCTTGCCCATCCTCTGGCGTTTTTCTTTCCCCCCTGTCCACTCGTTCACCCTCCCACTACGCGACATAAGCTGCGGCCTTGTAGCAATAGCAGGACGAGGCTCTCCTTTTTATACAACTTTGATGGACTGATATCAAATAGCAAGCAGCACAGTTTCTTTCCAAAAGTACTCAGGTGTGTTCCACGAGACCGCGTTGTCCGGATCATCTGCTGAAAGTGAGTTGTACGCGGGCGGGGGCGCTCCGCGGACCGCGTGCTTGTTGAACTGATTGGGGTCGGTACTCCTCCGGTGGACAAAGCTCCCAGGTGGGTGTGAAGTATCCACAGAGCAGTGAAAAGCCGGCTGCCGTCGCTGGTGACTTGGTTGTCGCAACACGGGGCCGTCGTCGTCTTCTAGAACCGAAGTAGTTGTTTGCCCTTGCCCTCCCCCGCCCACGGATTGCACGCCGCGCACGCTGGCTCCGCGCGGCGAGGTGCTGCTAGAGCTGCCGCCACCCTGCTGTCCTGTACCAAGCGCGTGCTGAAGAGCCGACTCGGTCGGGCAAACAGCTGACTTCGTGGCGGGTTCGACGAAGTAATTGCTGTGCTGGCCCTGCCATGCGAACGGTTTGTTTGTCGGCGAAGTCGTGGCAGCGTGATGCTGTCCAGGCAACTTTTGTTTTGCAATGCCTTGCGCGCCGCTCGGCTGCTGGTCCTGCAATTGCTGCTGCATGAGCACCGCTGTTCCCAAGCTGAAGGGGCTATTGGGGCGCCGCAGCAAGGGACTAGTAGACACTCCGCCGATCGGACATGTTGGTCCTGCCTTGGTAGTGGTACTTGGCGTTGTTTTCTGCTGCGTGCGTGCCACATCCAGTGCAGCTGTGCGGGAGCTGGCGGACGGGGTGCTCTCCTGCGAGATGAGTTGAGAAGCCCCCCCACCAGAAGCAGAGCCATCGGGTCTTTGCTTGCCGCGAGCTGACGATGATACGAGAAGTGGGCTATCAGAGGTCGATGCAACCTGCTTGCCAGCATCCACGTGATCCACAGAAGCCGCTAATGCCGCGGAAGCACCGAGAAGAGAGGCGCCCGCCTTCCCGTCGCGCAGTACTCCTCCAGACACCGACGCGGAAATGCCTGTTTCCGGGGCTGCCGGCTGCGGCAATATGGGTGAAGAAGCCTGCAGCGCGGAGACCGAGCCAGCAACGGCGCTCGCCCCCAGCTTGCCGCGCGGCATCCCGATCGGAGAGCCGGGCGCGCGCTGGAGTGCGGAGAGCGCTTTGGTTGCCACCACTTCGTGCTGACCGCTTTGGTGGAAGCTCTCTGCTTGCCGAATCACTTCGGCGAGGCAGCGCTGCGTGCGCAGAAGCTGCGAAGTCCCATTCAGCATTTTCTGTGCGGAGGCGTCGAAAAAGGCGTGGAACCCGAACTGGTTCCCAAACACCTCGTTGCCCGTCCCCAGTGCGTGCAGTGCCTGCGAGTCGCGGTCCGCAGAGGCCGTATCCTGTCTATCAAATGTAAAAATGTCTGGGTCTGGAAATTTCTGAGACTTGTCATGCACGTTTTGCATGGGCCATGATGTCTGTTGTGCATGCCCTAGCATCACAGATTTTTTGAGACCTTCTTGATGCCTATTCCGCATGACAAATGCCCTCTTCCCGTAGCAAAAATTGCACTCCCTTTGCTGCTCATGCAACACAAATTTTTTAGACATCCAAATGCAGCATCACAAGTTGCATTCTTCCAGACCCAGACACTTTTGCAGTTGATACTGTCCGCGGATGCGCAACAGGTGCTCGATCAGGCGTCGTAGCTCCTCGACCTCGAGTTTGCCGTTGCGATTGTAGTCGTAGTACAGAAAAATGAACTGCATGCGCAGCTGGCCCGCGGGGGACTCCGGGCCCACCTTGTGCGGGGTGCCCGGCGAAACGGCGAGCATACCGGCGAGAAAGTCTGACTCGTTGACAAAGTCGTCCTGGTTCCGGTCGAAGAGCTCGAAAAACGTATCGAAGTAATTGGCATCACAGCACGGGTACCGACGCAGCAGATCGTGAAATTCCGTGCGGGACAGATAGCCCTTCTTCGTCTTGGTGTGGCGGCGGAAAACCTCTAGCAGCGCCGCTGCCTTCTCGCCCCAACTGAGCTCCGCGACCGCTTCGTGAAGCAAGACGGAATGGGACCGCCAACTTCCCCACTGCCCAACATCGTAACCCTCGCGCAAACCCGAGGAGACCGCGGACATGGTTCGACGTTTCCCGAGCAGCAGTTGCGACACAACCGCTGGTCCCGCTCTTCCGTGGTCGAAATACACTCCACGATCGGATACTAACCCCTCCGTGGGTCTTGCCACTCTATCTGCTGCAGGAGCATGTACCTGTGCGCGCCATTTACTTGTTTTCTAATTTCTTTGTAGCCGTCGAAGTCAAAACTCCCGCAGTGCAAATACACGTCCATACGGCAACTAAACTCCGATTGTGCCAGAGCGAAGAGATTTTTTCTGGCACCGCGTTCGCAGTGCACCCCCTTTGGAAAAAAAAGCTGCAGGCCGCCTTCCCCTACCGTCCTCTGCCTTTTCCCCTGAATTCCCGCTAACTTCGCCCCAATTGCACTCTGCTGTAAGATTCAAAATGTTCGCCAATTTGCGTCCTCACACTCACACACGAAGATAGAGCGAAACGAAGAAGAGTATCAAACCGACCACGAATATCTTTCAGCACCCAAGACTTCAAAGAACACCGGCGCACGGTCCTCCCGTGCCAAGATTTGCGTCCGGGAGGCCCATTTTCAGTCCCGTATTTACACCTTGGGTATGGAAGATGTTTGTGCTTTTACAAATTATGCTTTTGTAACATGCTATGTAACAGAAACATGGTTCGCCTTCGTTCATTTTTACAGTCCGATTGTACTTGATCATGGCATGAACGACGCTCCTTCGTCGTCATTTAAAGTAATTGTCGGGTATGGGATCATCATACAGGTTTGGTTGGTAGTCGTCCGGGTACTGGTCCTCGTAGCTGGGTTCGTATTCATGTAATTCTGGTGCGCGGCGGGGCCACACGAAACCTCGCTTGGGGCGGTTGGCGCTTTCGTTGCCGAATTCCCGCTCGAACTCGTTCAGCTGCTTTAGGCGCGGGTGCTTCTCTTTATTCCTCGCTGCGCCGATGTGGTGCAGCGCCGCCTCTTCCTCCACGCGCTGCCACCTCCGAGGGATGCTTTGCGGGTCGTTTACGCGTGTGTTGATGCTGAAATCTACATCCGACTGTTCCCCGCCGTCGCGCTTCATCTTGTCCTCGCTGGTGAGCTTTTTCAGCTGGCGCTTAATCATGCCTTGCTTCACCGGACTGGTCTCCGGTCGGTTCTGCTTCATGTGGAAGGGGTTCATGTTCTTGAACACGTGCTGGTATTCAAAAGCCTCGCGGAAGGCTTTGGCATCCGCCAAATTGCGTTTCCCCTTCAAATTTGGCTGGTCCTTCTGCGCGAACGACTCCTGTTTGTACTGCTGATACTTGGCAGCTGCGTAGTTGTGCTTCTCGTACATGAAGAGTTCATCCTCCGTGGGTGCACGGAGCAGCCGCGGGTCTTTCACCGGTGCGAGGTAGGTCGGCAGCACCATGCTGGCAATTTTTCGTGCGTCCGCGTCCTCCCAGGCCGCTTTCTTGGGCACCGTGGCTGCGAGGTCGCCGACCTCCCAGACCGCGCGACCTCCCCGGTCGATGATCGGTAGGGACCGCTCCCCAAACCGTAGCATTTTCTCGTATTTCTTGTCTTCGTCTGCGCGCAACGAAATGCGATCCCCCTTCTGCACGGTCATCTTCGGTGGCTGCTCCGCAGCAGACTCCACGACGCCCAGCTGAAACTTCGCAACTTGTAGCGCGGTAAGGGGCTCCCGGTCCTCGTCCTCGTGTATGACCTGAATGGAGGGGGACCGCCCGCCGGCGGTCGTGGGCGACACCGGTGGACTACTGCTGATCGACGGCTGTCCGTACACTTGCTGCAGCACGGCGTGGTGCGGGTCCTGCTGCCGCTTGAACGACCCCCCCGCGGTTTGCTTCATGAACACATCTGCAATGTCGTCATTGGCCTGCTCGCGACGCATGCGGTTCAGGTTGACCCGGTTGCGCTCCCGCTCCTCGTCCAGGTGCTGCTGGCGCTCCACCTCCGCCTCGAAGGCCGCGCGCTTGTGCTCCTTTCGTAGCTCGCGCTCCTCCAGCTGGTGCCGAATTTTCTCCACCCGGTACGTGTTCCGGGCCCGCCACTTGCCGCTGCCGCTGTTCTCGGGCGACACCCAGCCCCCGCGCGTGTCGAAAGTCACGTCGCTGCTCACGAACGTGTCCAAATTGCCCGGCACCGTCTTACCCGACATCTTGCCCTTGGCCGCCCGATCCAAAGCCCGCATGCGCTTCTCCTCGGGACTGCCGCCCGAGGAGAGCGGCGTGCTGGCCCCGGTCGGGGAGAATAAAAGGTCCTTCCGGGTCGCCATCATGTCCTCCACCACCAGGTCCGACTCCACGACTTTTGCCCGTGTAGTCGGTGACAGTGGCGAGCCGCCTGCCTTCATGCCCGCGGGAGACCCGACGGGCGAGAACACGGGCACGGAGTGGTAGGGGTCATGATCTACCCCTGCTCCAGGGGAGGCGCCGCGGGTAGGGTGGTCTCTCTCGGGAGAGATGGAGTTTTTCAGGCGGTGAAAGGCGTCCGAGGACAACAATCCCTTCAGTACGCGCACGTTTCCCGCCGGCCGGGGCGGAAGCTGGCGCGCAACCTTGTCGACGAGCTGCGACTTGTTCTGCGAATAGTCGTAGGCGTACGGCTGCGCTCGGGGGCCCCCGTCGCGGGTTTTGTAGAACCACCGGACCTGACTGTTGTTAAACAAGTTCCCCACCCACTTCCGCGTGGCCGGGGGGATACTCGACCCGAACGAGGAGATCGAAGGGCGGCGCGAGGAGTCGTCGCGGTCCCCCGGCGCACCTGGCGAAGCCGTCCCGTTTCTCCTTGCGTTGCGTCGCGCCTCCATCCGCTCGATGATCCAGGCCTGCAGTGCCGACCGCGTGCCGCCCAGCATCTCGGCGCGCTCCTGGCGCTCCAGCTCGGCCAGCACGGTTTCGCCGTTCAGCTCCTCCTGCGTCTTGCCCCACTTCCACCAGATGGCGCGTTTCTCCCGCGTCATAAAACAGCAACACACAATGGAAAGGCAAAACAGGAAGTTCTCCGCGGAATCCTCCTCCTCCTTCTCCGGCTCTTGCTCCTTCAGTTTCTGCTGCCGCGCCTCTGGATCGATTACGCCGTGCTCCCGCGACATCTTCAAACTGAAAAAGTTCCGCATGAAGGTACTATTGCGACTGTCCACGTTGGTCCTGGGGTCGTTGAACAAGTGCGCCTCTTGTGGGTGCGTCGGATCCTCGGGGTGTTCCTTGAAGTTTCCAAAGTGCTTGTAGCGATGGTAAAACCGGTAGAACGCAAACACGGAGATCGTGACGACTATCAGACAGACGAAAATAATCAGCAGATCCTTGTTTTTCCAGTCGTTGTCCTGGCCCGCCATGTTCCATTTCGGCGAACTGTAGCTCGCGTCATCCACTGGCGGATCGGTCGCGACATCCGCAACGCCGTCTGGGAGCCAGTCTGTGCACTGGAAGTACTTGTAGTCGTCCATCGGTTTGTCGCAGTCCAGAAGACGCACCCGGCACCACATCGCCTGCGCAGGAATATCGCACAACTGCCGGTCAAACACCCACTCGACCTGTATTGATGGACGTTGAAGAGATGAAAATAACTCGCTCTTTCCGTTGCCTTTTCTTATTACAGCTAGAAACATCAAACAAGAATAAAAGATAAACTGAGATGACGATTTACTTCTCTCAACAAGCGTACCTCAATCATCCCAGAGGCGTCGGCGCTGCGTTTGATTTCCACGAGAGACATGCGCGAGGTATCTCGGTATTCGCACATCACCTCCATGCCCTCCTTGCAGATGGCGATTCGGCTTGGATCTCTGTATTGCGACGAAGAAGAGACATCAACGGCGGCGGCCGGCGCGCTGTCCTGCGCATTCGCGAAAGACAAAGAACCCGTCAGCAACAGGAGATGTATCAAAAATACGAGCACCATGCGACCGATTTTCATCATGATTTTTAAACGCCCTGTCCATGTTGAAGATTGTGCGCCAGCACCGTGGGCGACCCTGGTGCTTTTTCTCCTCCAGGGGAGCAAATGTGCTTCATGCCCGACCGCAAACGGCATCTTGGCCCGCCCTGCGGTCGTGGTTTCGGCTGGCTCGTTCTGGGCGCCGCCACCTCCGACTCCGTACCGGTGTCCTCGACTTCAGCTAATTTTTACATGACAAAGAAAAGGTGGAGCGAGGATGTCGCTATGCACAAACTTGCTGCGCAGTTCCACTGGAACTCGCAGGGTCTACATTTTGAATTCAAGAAAACCATGCAAAAAGTAGAGAGAAGAATGTTTATGTACGTGCGTGTAGAGTAGAGAAACTAAAAAACATATCAACCTTCTTTGGGCTTCATGGGTCGAATAACCTGTGCCAAACCAAATGAATTAAAATTCACAGTATTTAAACTAGACAACGAGAAGCAAGAAAGTCAAGGTCTTGCATTTGCACTCTGCACAATTCTAGCCGATTTTTTCTCCCTCTACTCTGGTGCAGTGCATGCACCTACCTCGCTCAACGGAAAGAAAAACGTCGCACTTGCAGATCCGATTTTTGGAAGTTGAAAAACAGAAAAGCGACATCGTTTCTCGTTTTCCCTCGCTCCAAGGCAAACAGATTGATGTGTCATTTCGCGTCTGTCGCTTTACAGGAAGAGCAAAAAAAAACCGAAGACTTCTACGATTTTCATAGCAATACCGAAAACAAAAAAAAATTCTACGACCGAATCTACGTTCTATCGTCGGAGCGAAGAAGGTTTTCTCATATGACGCCTAAGTCCTCCTCTTAGCACGATAGTAGAGAAATCACACGCAGCACTCGCGCGTGAGTGCTCGCTCAAATGCGAATGATCATGGTTATGGTTTTTCGCCACTTGGAAGTTCTTCGCGCAAGATATTAGTTCAGCGATTTTCAAATTTAACGAGGAATCCGCCGCCGACTCGCTTTTCTTTTTTCGTCTTTTCCCTCTTGATTTTTGCGCGGAGTTCGCTCTGCGTCTTGCGCAGCCGTTCCAAAGCGCGCTGGCGGACCAGAGCAGCCTTCGTTGCAGCGTCCTGCGGTCCCTGCGCCTCCTTGCTGCCACCCGGAAACAGCGGTGCGGCAGGCTTTGCCATCGTGGGAGTTTGAATTTCCTCGTTTACTTTTGCGATCCGTTCCTCCTCGAGTTCGTGACTGCGCGCCGCCGCTTTTTCCACTCCTTGTTGCAATAACGCGGGATTCTCCAAAACGTCCATTACAAAAGGCGTGCCAAGGATGCGCTGCCCGTCTACGAGGCACAGGATATGGTACTCTCCTGCTTTAGGAATCAGGACATCGTCCAGTGAGTAACTCGCATGACTCACCACAGCCGCACTTGTTTCCGCTTCTCCGATATAGTTTGCAGGCGCCTGCCCAACATCATTTTCTCGGGAGTGATGTACTTGAAAGCGCAAGCCGTCGTCGTCAGTACCGCGAGCAATGGTTTCCATAGCCGGGTAGCTTTCCACCACTACCTCTGCCTTGGACGCACCGAGCCGGCACGCATTGCCGTGCGCGTCGATAACGGAAAGTGCGAAGCTTTTCCGCAGATCCTTCTCGAACAAGCACGTTTCAAACCCGGACAGGGTGCAGCGGTACGGATGCGGCGGCCCGTGATCGACGAACACCCTGCCAACAGTCGCTTCCGCCGATGAATTGGCGGTGGAGCTATATGTTGCATCAGAAGAAGTACATCCGCTTACAAAGCCCGGAGGCGGTCGAAGGCAGACGTCGTACCATCCCACCTGCGTGGCCTCGCCCTGTAGATGCAGGGTACTGTGCTCCTTTGCTGGACTTTTGTAAAACTGCATGCTGGAAGATGATGCGCCGGCGCCACTACCGCTACCCCTGTCGAGTGGTTGTGGCCAAGCGACCACTACCACATCGATCGCCGCAGCAGAGGTTCTTGCGGCCGCGTCAGGATGAAGGGTCGCCATTGCTATTTCGTCCTCATCGAGCGGCAACTTAAACGACGGCCCTGCCGTAGAGAAGGCACTGCTTGCTTCGGATTTTTTGCCAGATGATGTCAACATGTTCGGCACAGAATTTTTATCAGTTTTCGCACCCATCATGTCAAAGTTCTTGAAGACAGGTCCCCAGAGGTACAGAGAAAGCAGAGCACAAGCATCGTCTTCATGATCCAGTTGAGCCACCTCGTTCTGCGAAGCGTTGCCGCGAGCCCAAACGTCGGTGTATTCGGTTGCCCGGTCCCGCAACACGAGCGTCATGTCAAAGGGAACTCCCGTGATTACGGAACGAGGGTGCGCGACCGTGAGTTCGCACGCAGGTGCGAAGGGGGCACCTGCCGTCACGTCTACGCAGGCCTCCGTCAACACTTTGAACGCAGCATCACAGCTAGCGGAGAGCAGGACCTGCACCTTGCGGCGCGCCTGCGTGCTGAACATGACAGAGATCTGGTAGGTTCCGTACGCGGCGGAAGTAACTTCGAAGTATCCTGGCACGTCGTCGTGCTGCGAAAGAGCAAGATTTTTCGTGGGAGATGAACCAATGGCTGTTCCACCAGTGCTGGGGGCTGGCGCTGATGTCCACCATGCAAGTTCGCGTGTTTTATTTCCTCCTCCCTCAACCGAGACAATCTTAAAGCCCGGCCCGTTGGCTTGTGTTGCGTTATTTCCAGCCGAAGAGGGTATAAAGGACGGCAGGAAGCACAGGTTGCCGCAGTCATCCCGGCAAGTGACACGGAAACGGGTCCACATGTGCACAGCCACCCGGCGATAGTCGCGCAGGCTGCAAGAGCAGCGGTCGAAGTTCACGTCGCCCACTCCGACCTGCAGCGATAACGGGGAGTTACTGATGGGTTGACCGGCCAACCAACAGTGCAAGTCGTATATTCCAGCGTCGGGAGGACGCACAATGATTTCCTCTTCCCACAAGTCGTAAGCGGACCGTGCCAGGGGAACGTAGTTGTTGTCATTTTGTATCACGAAGACCTGCAGCGGCTGTCCCGCAAGCACTTCCTTTACGGATTTTTTTCGCGTCGAATAAGCGGATGACGACGACGAGGGCTCGACGCTTCCCGCCACCCCTCGCTGCCTAGCCGAGGGAGACAGTACCGGAGACGGCGGCGAATCGCAATCCTCAAGCGCGTGTTCATCTAGTGCGAGTCGCACCTTCACACGTCGTCCGGGCTTGAATGTGATGCTTGCAGCGACCCCTGCCGTCGTTCCACTTTCCGCTTCGTCGTCACTGAGAGTGCTGTAGTAGTCCATCAAGGAAGCATCCGCGACGCTCTGCAAGTTGTCGTTTACCCGAACCTCCAATCGCAGATGCGCACTTGAAGGCATGCGCAAGAGACTGCAGAAATACTTCCGTCCGGACACGATTCGTGCGACGGATTGCGCGGAACAACCCACCACCGGCCGCAGCTGCCCGAAAACCTCCTCCTGCTCAGCGACCGACGAGGTGAGGCGGTACGCAAGGTCAGCTGCATTCACGCCAAAACTGTCCCGGATTTCCGCCTCTCCGAGCCGCGCATTCTTCGTCAGCGCATTTGCGTCTGCCCGCTCACAGCCCGGGCTGGGATCGTGGAGGCAACCAAAGCGTTCGTAGTTTCCAGCGTTTGGAAAGCTCTGCTGGGCCCGCGCATTCAACACTTTGTTCAGGGATACGCGCCGTTGCTGTTGAAATATTTCATTCATTTTCTCGATCCTGGTCATGCATTCATAGGCATAAGCGCCACAACACTCTTGAACTCGAAACCGTGAACAAACCCAGGACATCAAATTTTGGTCGTGCCATCTTCACTACTCTCAGCAGAAACAACGAGGTTCTGACTGAAAGTTCATAAACTTAACCGCTTGCACCTGTTGCGGATCCATACCCCATTCGATCACGGTCCCGTCGCCGGTAAGAGCCACCGACTTCCCCTGCGTCGAGCAGATCCATTCCACGCGCTTTTCCGTGAGGGCAGGAATCAGAACCGGACGCGTGATGCCATCGGCTTCCGCGGCCGGCTGCATTTCCCGGTGCCCTAACGGCCCCGTGCGCTCCACCACGATCACGACGTTGGACCGTCGCGCCTGCGCGGGAAGGCACAGCTGACCCACGTTGTTCAACCCCCAGCCGTACACTTCGCGGTACTCTGTGATGGCAAAACTGTACTCCTCCCCGCAATTTACCAACGACAGCCGCGGCACACGACTCCCCGCGTTATTTCCCGGCGGCGCGAGTGGAAGCTGCACCGGCTGGGGAACCGGATTCACCTCCCGCAGCATGATCCGTACGGCGCTCACTTCGTCCCACAGCCCCAGCTGCCCGCAACTGTTGCAGCCGAAAGCCAGAACTGTTTGCTGTGCCGTGGTCGCTTCGTTGGAAGTAGACGTTTGGCTGGACGAGGACACTACCAGCGTGTGCGCCCCGCCGCAGGCCACGTGCGTCACGGCTTCGGCGACTTTTTGCAGCGCAGCAATGATTGGGCCGGCGCGAGTCTGGCGTTCCCCGATTCGGCTGCCGACTTGCCCGTGCACGTTCCACCCGCAGCCGTACAGGTCTCTTTCGGAGTCCAGACAAAAAGAGTGCGCAAACCCGCAGGCCACGCCCCACCACGCGCGGTCCTGCGCTTTCGGGTGTGGGAGCTCTCGGAAGTCCACCGTCGTGCTGGTGGAGGGTTCGTCGCCGAGGAAAACGCCGAGCTGCCCATTCCGCGCCAGCCCGCAGCCAAACGCGCGTCCGCCCGCCGTCACACACAGGGTGTGTCCGGCTCCGCACGCGACCGCTACTACTTTCTGGCCAAGCAGAATCGCCCGAGGTACGGGCACAACTTTCTCGTGAAACCCGCCCAGCTGCCGACTGCTGTTGCCGCCCCAGCCCACGACGTCGCCATTGTTTGTGACGGCAACACAATGCGATAAACCGCATGCGAGATCCTGAAAGCCGAAATCGCGCACCCACTCTATCACCTTCGGCCGCGTCACCGTACCGCCAGCACGAGTGCGACTGGGGCTTACGCTAGGGGACGAGCCCCCACTCGCTTCGCCTGATAGATTTTTCATTGCAGAAAAACATATTCTTTTATGAAGAAAAAAGTCGGTCTGGATAAATCAGAGCTGCTACTAGAAGACGACCAATAAATCTTCTACTTCGACATAGAAAGCACCATGTACAGTTTTGTCCGAGGCATTCATTTTCGTTCTCGCCCCAGGAGTACAACTGTCCGCGATAGCGTCGGAGGGCTGATTTGCGCCCCTCCACTTCCTCGGCGGATGCCGGTGCGGTGGTAAGTGCCAATGCCGAATAGTAGGACGCCAGCTCAGGAACGTCGAGCGACCCAAAGATTCCCGCCAGCCGTTTGTAAAGTTTCTGCGTCTCTATTGATGTTTCCACGGCGCCGCCCTGCACCTGTTCAATGGCCTCCAGAGTTGCCAGCAGGTCCAGGCCGGCTGAGCTGCAACCTGGCGAGTGCGCTTCGCCAGAGGCGAGCAATAGGTCTGCCATTTCCGCAGCTATCAATACGTAAATTGCGCGGCGAGTCGGTGGTCACGTTCAGACACAGCACACCGCATAGTGTTTTGTGTGAGTACGACAGCACAGGGATCAGATCACAGGCTGAGGATCGTGAACGGACCGCGCCGAAAAGAACAAGGATCGTAGGTCTCTTTTTTTGATTTCAACGAAAATCTCAAGGTCTCTACTTTCGTACTTCAGATGGACAGGCCCGGGCCCGGCTGAAGGATCCGACAGAAAACAAAAAAACAAAGACATAGTGAAACGCGCTCCCGCTCTGTGCAACGGAAGCGGCCTTCTGCAGTGAGAGTGCTTCTTGTAAGCCTCACGGATCGTAATTATATTCTACATATTCACAAGGAGGAGATGTGGCGACTTCGCTTCGTTAAATCGCGTTGTTCATTCTGAAAACCAATCGTACAGGTGGACCAGGAGACGGGCACGCCTTCCCTCGGTCAACTCATTAGAGAGCCACAACATTCTACTAGGCGGACAATGTACCCCATTCCACTAAGTCAGCGCTTCGCCTTGGCCATGATGCGGTCAAGGATGTCCTGTGATTCGGGCTGGGCGAGCAGCTGCCCGCAGAGGTCATCCTCGTGTTTTTGTGCGGTTCCTCGCAGATTTCCACGACGGAAATTGCCCTTGTAGGCCTTGACGAAGTCCTCCGCCAGGCCCGCTGTCACGTCGTCAAACTTGTTGGCCATGTTCTTGATGGCTTCTCCACGCCGCGCGTACATGCAATCGATCTGTAGATATTTCAATTTTCAAGCTCTGCAATCGCAGTTCTGACTATGAAAGAATAGCTAGCTGTACATAGTACTTACTTAGACACATTCGCCGAGGAAAGAGGTAGAAATTATCAGAAAACAATACAAACGCACTGTACTATACCAATGCTTTGGCGCGCACACTATCCTTTGTGTCGGCCATAAGCGATTCCTTCAGCGCCGAATTTTTTTCTGCCGCTTTCGAACTTGCAGCGTCATGCGACATTGGTTCGGGCGTTTTCTGTTCCTTCTGATTCGTGCCCTCGTCTTCGTCGTTCTTCGCTTCGTGGCTCTCCTCCTTCACGTTGCCTTCTGCTGCTTCCTCATTGTGATGCTCGTCGTCACCCTCCTCATGCGCTGCAGTTTCCTGCTTCTCCGCCTCTTTGCCGTCCTCCCCCTTTGCGCCCTCCTCCTCTACTTCTTTGCCAGCATCCTGATCCGTGTGTTGTTCTTCTACTGTGCCGGCGTCTTTTTTGTCCTCCCCCGCAGGCTTGTCTTCGTGTTCTTTAGATTCGGCGTCATCATGCTCCTCCCCTCCGTGCTCTTCTTCGTGCTCCTCGCCTTCCTCATGATGGTCGTGCTCCTCGTCCCCGCCGGCGCTTCCTTCGACTTCGTGATGTTCCTCCTCCCCGCCGTCCTCCGCGTGTCCTTCGTCTTCGCCACCCTCCTCATCGTCCTCTCTTTTCTGCAGTGTACTGGAAGTTCTTGTTGTAGACGATACTTTATTTTTCGGTGGAAGCGAGGTCTTCTTGTTCCCCGCCGCGCTACTGTCTTCCTCCCCCACGACCCGGGTTGTTCTCGCGGAGGTTCTTGAGACGGCTCGTACTTGCGGCACTGCACCGACCTTTGCCGTCACTTCTCCATCGGCGTGAAACTTGACTTGCTCCTGCGCAGGCTGCAGACCGAAGGACAAGCCAATGCAGCAGTAGAGCAATGATGCCACAACGCATCGCCCCGTCGTGTCGGGCATCTTTTTTGTATGATCCGCAAGAAGCGCTCGCAACAATAGACGCTGTGGTGCAAGAACTACAAACAAGGACCTCTCAACCTCTAGTACATTTTCACTCGAATCGGCTTCGGCCGCATGCTACTGGTCGAACCGGGGGCATGAAAACCTCGACAAAAACTTCAACTGTCCGCTCTGTTGAATTCCCTCACATTTTTATCTCTCAAGCGAAACACAGTAGCTACGCCCGGTGGTGGCGTGATGGAACACCATTTTTGTGATCAGAGTCTGACCAAAAGTTGCATCACTTCGCATACACCGACGTGCAGTTGATATCACTTCCGCTAGCATAGAAGAAAGTGAAATGATATTTGTACGGAAAACGGAAACGCGTATCACCGAAACGGCGATCATTAAGTATTCGTCCCACAAGTATTTTTCAACGTGCCAAGACGAACTCATATTCGCGTCAAAGACAGATACTGTACCTACCCATTATACACGTCTACTCCCTAGTCGTGTAGTCTGCTAGAACTACTCGAAAACCGTTTATTTCATTCGCTTGCCATCCTGCGCGCTAGCTTTTCTTCGTAGGCTCTGTCTTTCGCCGCATAGAAATCGCCCTCGTCGCATATCTCCCCGAGCCAGTCGCGAATATGGTCCCAAGGCTCTCGGTTGTACTTCCTCGGGAAATCTCGCACTTTCTCCGCCCACTCGCGCTCTCCAAATCTGCCGCGACCCGCGTCGTTGCGCTTGATGACTTCCAGAATGGCCCGCTGTTCTCGCGCCAGGCGCCGAAACATCGCACTTTTGGCCTCCTGTTCCGCCGGAGTTAGCGTGTAAAAAGAGGACGATCCGGGCATGACAGAATCGCGGCCCGCAGCTTTGTTGAAGTCCTCCACACCACCGGCGTCAGCCTGCCGTCCCTCGTCGTCCTCCTGATCCTCGTTCGAATCCTTTTCCGTCCCTTCCTCCTCAGAGCTGCTGTTGGCGACAGGCTTTTTTTCCCCGCCGCCGGGCTCCTTTCCGTGCAACAGTCGGTCGCTCGCGGACAAACACAGAAGCAGGCGCAAGTGACCGGCGCGGACGCCCGGTTCATTTGGATCCACGACACCGGGTAACGACCCCTTTTTCCCTGCATTCACGTACACCGTCAGGTTTATTTCGTTCTCGACGACGTCCAGAAACCGGCCGTCGTTGTGGTCGTTGTTGACCAAACTCATTTCAGAGATCGGCACGTTGCGCATCGCCTCGTAGAACTGCACCAGCCGTTCGCGCGTGACGTCGTTCTCGAAAGCCCAGTCCCGCGCGCGCCCTTGCAAATAGTGCCGGCGCTGCAGCTTCGTGATGCTGTACTGCTCATGCACCTTGAGGCAGTGCTCTTTAAACCGCTGGCAAAACAGCGACACCGGACTGCCCTCCTCGTCGCAGTCCACAACGAGGTGGACCTCGGCGCCGGCCGTGCTGCGGTTTCCATTGTCCGCCAGGGTGAGCGTCATCTGAAACCGCTGCGTGGGGTTCCGGTTGAACTTGTGCAGGGTGAGCAGCGTGCGGTCCGGCATCCCGAACAGGGTGGTTTGGTTCCGGAGCGCCTCGGTGGCCGACACGCGGTTCACCGGGGTCGCCGGCTGCGCCAGCTGGGAAAACATGGTGTCGCCCATCGGGGATACCAATGGGCTCGGCCGGGCGTGCGTGGCCGGACTCTGGAGTAGTACACTCTCGGCTGAAAACGGGGACCCCGACTTACTCCCCGGCCGCGAACCGTTCACTGGCGTATCCGCCGTGTGCACGGTCACGGTTGGGCCCGCTTCGTGCGCGGCAGGGTCCGTGTGCTCGTGATCTGCCATCACTAGACAGCACTGGCTATCGCTATTAGCATTGCTGTTGCATTAAGACAACTCTTGTTTCGAATTCTTGTGGGACAACTAGTAAAAATCGAGTCTACTCAAAAACTGCTTCTGGCATGCAGACGTAGTCTATAATTGATATTAGGGGGAAAAACCTTACGAAGTCGATTTATTGGTGAGGAGGCTGGCCAAAAATCCATGGGAAATTCAAATTCTGCTTTTACCGAAAATGAACATGACCGGAGCGTCAAAAATGCACGAAAGTGTCACAACATCTAATCCTACACGAAATCACGACTGACAAAAGTGGCATGGAGATAGAAAATAGCTCACCTTGCGGATGCAGCTGGGACGTGCCAGCAAGTAGAACCAATTAGAACGATACCGAGGGAGCCGACGTCTCAGGGGCAGACTCTGTGCCATATTTTATTACACACACTTTCATTACAGTGGCGACGAAGCTGGGCGAACGTGACACACGAGACGGAAACATTTTGAACAAAAACGTGAACGACGATCAAAACGATGGCAGCAGAGGAGCAGGCACGCAGAAGTTATCTGAGACTGAGGGAATAAAGAACTGATACGTAAGAAGTACCAAATAAAGCCGCCGGGGCGGAGGTAGTGAGGTCGTGGGCGTTTTCTTGCCGGCCGTCGCCTTGGCCGCGGCTTTGCTTTTTCTGGGCTCGCCATACCGCCCCGAGTAACGTTAGGCCGCACGGTATGGCGGCCGCTTGGTGAACATCGCAAATTTTGGCAAATTTCCGCGATTCCTTTCCGAAAGCCAGCCCCCATGCTATGGGGCCGATCCGGGCGCCAACGGGGACGCCCAAAAAGCGAAGAAAAATCGGGCCCATAGCATGCGGATTGGCTTTGCGCGTTTGGCGCGCTTTTTCTCTTTTGGGTTTTTATTTTTCTCGCCGGCGCTTTTTGCAAAGCTTCCCAGGCTCTGAAACCGGCGAAAAGGCGGCCGCTTTCGCGGCCGCCCAAAATGCTCCGAAATCGCGGCCGTGCCATGCTGTTTCGCTGTTCTGATTTTGGGCGCGTTTTTTGCGCGCTCCTTTTTGGGCGCCCCAAATCGCCAGAAACTAAGGCGGTGGGCGCCTCAGAAGGGCGCCCCTTTTGCCGGCTCCCCTGCGTCGTTTTATCAAGTGCGAATCGATAGTTTTCGACCGGGCTTGTTTGTTGGCAAAGCCCCGGAGGCTTGATAGTTGAAGACTTTTTTTGTCAAAAAACGCTTCCGGCCGCTTGCAAACTGCCGGTCGTTTTTCAGGGTAGCTGTCAAAAAAACTCCCTGGTTAGACCCGTTCGGTGACCTCACTACATACGACACGCCTCAATGAATCGTCAGGGAGAGAACATCGTTGACAACTCGGTAGATAGGACCAATTAAGCGCTGGGCCGTACGACTTCAAACGAGAAGGTGCCTGTGGCCATCCATGCAGGTTGTGCTAATCAAGGGCTTGCGGCCTCGCTGCGCACAAAAAGGCAACATTCCTGTTGCATTACTAGAGGTCCACCGGATTGGGTGGTTGAAAATAGTTTCGTACGATCTTCGACGTCGACAGGTCCTCCTTGTTCTTGCGGACATTGGTGGGTGGCCGCAGGCAGCTTCGCATGCCATTCCGAATCTCGTCGGCAACCGGAACCACGGCGGCCTTGAAGTGCTGCTGCGGTTGCCGGATCTTCGATTGCTTCGCGCGAAACTCCTTGACGCTTTCTCCAGCTCCCTTCTTCTCGGCGTTCCTTGTGCGCAAATTACTGATCTCCACCAGGTTCTCCTGGACTGCATTCACGACGTTGTCCCGCCAAAAGTCGTCGGCACTACCCGTCGCCGTGCTCGCGTTTTTTTGTTGTTCCGCGGGGGCTCTTGCCCCCACTTCTTGATGGACAAACGGCGGGTCGTTCTTGTCGTGTGACAGAAGTTCAGGCTTATTTCCAGAGTCGCCCCCGTGGTTCGACGAAGTGGTGCTCTCCTCGGGGCTGGGAATGTTGGAGCTGCTGTACGCCTCCGAGCTGTGTACGCTGCTGTGATGCTCCGCGTCGCCGCGGGAACAGGACTCGTTGTCTGTTGCGGATTCCGATAGGTGGTCTACGAGGACCAAGTCGGTTGCTGGTCTTGCTCGGGCTTTCGCCTCCCCCGAGCTGGCGGACAGCCCAACGCCCTCCGCGGCCGAAACCCCCGCGGCAGGCGGTGCTAGCTCCGGTGCAGTAGTTCCACTGGACGCCGCTGTGGCGGGGGCGAGCGGCTTGCGCCCGGCCATTTGCGTCGGGGAAAGTGTCCGTGCTGCCGTGCTGGGCCTGGAAGGCACGTTCCCCATGGACCAGTTCATCTTGTTGGGGGACTGCGGGCTTCGCGGCGTCGGTGCTGCGGCGGCAGTGCTCACTCGACTGTCCGCGGCTTGCGTACTTCCCGTCTCCTGCGCCGCCTGCCTGCTCGCCTGCTGAGTCGCCGACGTTGGCCTGGAGGCGGCAACGCCGGCGGACGTCGGGCGGGAAGACGGGCCGTTGTTGAAATCACGGCTGCTGGTCCCACCTGCCTTTACCTTGCTATGTAGTGGTCTTTTCTTCGCCAGAACCTCTGTGGCGCCATTGGACGGTGCAGCAACCGCTCCACGGCCCATTTGTTTTTGCAAGGTGGCACTACTTTTTACCTTTGACGGCTGTGACTTCCCTGTTGCCACCGCCTGTGGCAGCGCCGTGACCGGTTGTTCAAGTTGAGCACAACCGGATTGTTTCTTCGCGGTCCTGTCGCCTTTTGCGGGTGAAGAAACAAGTTTTTCACGACTTCTACCTGGAGCTGTTGCTGCTGCCGCTGTCGCTGCTGTTTTCAACATCTTCGGCTGCTCTGCTCCAAAAGAGCTACTTGCACTTTTCTCACCAATCTGCAGACTGCTGCTCTCGACAAGACCAGGCGGGGAGTCGACACTTACCAGCGGGGAAGACGACAGTTGTGCCCTGGCGCGCGGAGAAGGTCCGCGCGAAGGAGCTCCATCCGCAGGACCTGGCGCTGACGGAGGCACAGGAGCAAGATGCTGCTGTAGTTGACCGGGTTTCGTTTCCTTGTTCCCCTTGTCAAGAACGTAGTCCTCTCGCGCCACCTTAGTCACTTGTCCTGCAGCTCCTTCATCCAGTTTCTTGCTGTCAAGGTTGAAAGACTCGTATTCATCGACCTCCACTCTGCGTGCATTCTTCCAGTCCTCGTCCAGGTCTTCCGCGTCGTCCGCCGGACCAACTTCGCCCGGGCGCACGTTGGTCTCCGATAACATGCTGACATCCGCCGAACGCGGAGCGGCACCTCCACCACGCAGAATCTTGGGCTCCGACTCGACTGTGAAACTGTGCCGGCGCGACGGCTGCGCGGACAAGGGCTTCATCTTCATCCGGTTCTGATCTCCAGCCAGCGAATACGCCGCCCTTCCGGCCGCGTCCTTCAAACTGTCCACGCTACCACGCTGATGGGTACCGCGCCCGCCCGGCCGTGCCGAGGAGGGCGGAGGTAACTTCCGCGCCGAGTACGACGGCGGTCTCTGGAGGACGAGATTACTGTTGTTCTGCGGCAGGTTCAATTGAAAGCTGTCTTTTTTCTTCTCCGGACCTCGGGCTGACAAAGCTTCGCGCACAAAGCTGTGGCTCTTCTGCACCTGGTTCGCCGGCGCCGGCGGCGCGTTTAGATTGGCGAGGGGAAGCGCCGGAATCTCTGCGCAAGACGCAGCTCCGCCGAGCGGCGCACCGTTCAACTGCAGGTAGGAAAATGTGTTCTGTGTTGCCTGAAACCGAAAACGGGACGGCGAAACCTACAATTTGAGTTTTTCAGGAGAAGGATGGAAGGGACATGATGGGGATCAAAATCCATTCCGAAGATCATGCGTTACATAAAAGGACCACAGGTGGATCTGCTGAAGAAAGAACCCAGCTCACAGCAATTTATTATCCTACTTCATCAATTCTCGCATCATGCTCGTACTATACCGTGATCATGACTAGACAGGGGCTCGCCTTCGACTCCAGCGCACCGCGCAGCAGTCGGGTCAACTTCGCGTCGCGGCAGAAGGCGGAGAGCCCCTGCCGGCGTTTCAACGCGTGGAAGACTTTGACAAGGGCGAGATAGGTATCGTTGATCGCCTGTGACTCCAGCATGCGGATGCCGCTGTTACCCGACATGCGGTTGTCTTCGCACCCCGCGAGGTCCACCAGGAACAGTCTCCCGGTCTGCGGCGGGCGCGGGCGCTCGTGGAAGGTCATGCTGGAGGCGCCGCTCGGCCGGCGCGCCAGGGCATTGGCCTTGTTCTCCTTCTGCTTTTTGACCACCTTCAGCACGCAAAACGCGTGCGACCGCGAGGACTCCTCGTTCAGCAGGGTGCGGCCCTTCTTGCGCAGGCGAATGCGTTTTTGGTACAGATGCCAGAACTGTTCTGTGCTTTCCACAATAACTTCCGTCAGGTCCGGAATGATCTCGAAGCCCGCGAGGTCCTTCTGGATGGGCAGGTCCGTCACGTCGTATTTGCTATCTCGCCCCTTGCTCTGCGGATCCACGTCCTGCAGCAGATCCCGCACCTTCTCGCAGTAAATCTCATACCTGTGGTGTCATCAAGTACAACTAGCGGTGGTCGGGGGAGCGACGTAATAATTTAGAGATATACTGGTGCTGCACTCTGCATCATTCCGAGCAGAGGACGGCACTCGTCGGAGTAGAGCCGCTGTGGCTGTCTTATAATTCACCTTCTATATTAACTGTCGGGCAAAGCTGCCAGAATGTCAGGCAAAGCCAGAGTCGTACTCGTGCCAGTGCCAGATGTTGATAGGTAAAATAAACCTATGGCCTACAAATCTCGAAGAATACAGCGAGAATCGGACTTCGTAGTCCTGCGGGGCGACGTCGCCGGAATCCAGGTGGTGGAAAATCATGGCCACGGATTGTGGAGTGATTCCCAGGCCGCCGTACTGGCAATCCGGTTCCACCCCCTCCATGGTAAAGGTTTTGCCGGACCCGGAGGCCCCGTGCGCGAACACGGTGAGGTGGTTCCCGGCGAACAGGCCCCGCACGTGCGGGGCGATCTCCTCCTGAAAGATGGTTTCCGTGTGCTCCTCACAGTACACGCGATCGAACTGGAAGCGCCGGGACACGCCCTTGTGCCGGGGATCGTACAGCACCAGATTCCGCGCATCCTCCTGCTGTACCGCGGTCGACGACTGCGCTTCCTGCTCCCCGATGGTTACCGGCCGGATGCGGCAACAGATACGAATGTTCTGCTCCGAGAGACCACGGGCAGCCGCCATGTTGGCAGGAGCGTCGATAACAAATTAATATATTGCGGCTACTCTATTCCGGAACTTGCACTGAAAAAATGTGTATGCGATACAGCCCAACCCGGGCACAACCACCAAACTACAGCCCGAAAAAAACTTCGCTGGCCGCCGCGTCTACGCTAGTTTTCGAGGCTTCAGTAAATTCTCATTGGCCGCATTGATAATTTTTTCAATCGATCTTGTATTATTTCAAGCTCGTCCCGAGGGAGAGGGCCAGATTAGCAGAAGGCGCTTCTACATTTGCCATTTTGGACTTTTTGTCGACTTTCATTCACTCTCTCTCTCGACTCGCTTGCCCCTGAAGCTGGAGGCAAAAAAATCTCTCACATACCGCACCACCTGGTGCTTCTTGGTATCGTGAATTTTTTTGCACGAAAGAACAGCAGCAAGGAACCAGGGTCACAGAAAAGAAGCAACAAAGATCAGAGGGCAAAAAGTTTCTTCGAATAACATTCTCGTGTAGTGTACCAAATTCGGAAGGAATCACGAGTCAACTCTTTGTCGGTAGGAACTAGGATATAGATCCAGTAACGGGAATAGCTTGGAATTCGAAAATTGTGGAATTATGCGAGACCTAAATTTGCTCTAAATCCTATCTACCGCAGTATTCGGTGGGGGAACAATAAAAATGTGTGTAAAAACTGAGATCAACTGTAAAGTGCAATGAGAAACACTACAAGAGATGTTGTAAACAAACCACAACGAACAGGGACAGATTTCTGAATTGTTTCGTGAAATGATTTTTTCTAAACCTCGCCCTTCAAGATGACACGTGCCCCGGTCGACGATGTGGCCTGCTCACTGTTGGGCGTCCATCAGCCCCATGGCAAAATTAAACGCACTTCGTCGCGGCGGCTTGATTTTTCGGCACCAGGAATCGTGCCTCTTCTTCAGTTCGTCGACGAACGCCCCTTTGTAGGGGTACTTTGCCAAGGTCTCTGGCCACCCGTTGAAGTAGAGGCGGTCCATGCGTGTCAAGTACACGTCCAACCCGCCGTCCACCCGGGGAGACACCTTTACACCCTCATATGAACTGCAAAAATGTCTGGGCCTGGAAGATTGCGATATTTGTCATGCTTGTCTGGCATGACCAAAAAGTTTGCGATCCGTGTCTAAGAAGAGACCCTTTTGCCTGTCATGCAAAAACGCAGTTTGTAATGCGAAAAACGCAACACAAAGAAGCGCAGATATTTCTCATGCTTGGTGGTGCATTACAGAGCATTCACTGTTCCCAACGCAGCATTACAAGTTTCCAGACCCAGACATTTTTGCATTTGATACCTCACCGGAGTACCCCACTTCGCACCGCACCAAGTCCGCGCCAAACGTGGCCATCTTGGTCCCTCGCTGCCAATCCAGCAGTGGTGCGCCGTAGAACCTGTTTAGATATTACCGCGGAACAAATATTCTTGGGTACGAGTACATAATTTGATACCTTAATATTACCCTCGCTTCTACCTGTACTACCCGTGGAGGTGCGCACAACGCAATAACTAGGCAATGTAATAAACTAACTCTTCGAGCAAAAAAAAACAGAGATCCCCGCTGTGCTCTTACCACTCTCCGATGCAGCCGCTGTTTTCTGTTGTGGTCTGGGGGTTGAACAGGACCTCACCCGACTCGTTTTCGGGGAAGATAGTAGCCTCCATCTTGACACTGGCGGCGATTTTCTCTGTCCTCAGCGCCTTTCGACTGCTAAAATGAACGCTGCTCGTTACCGTGCCGAGCGACCCTCTCATGTTGACTGGAACTGAAATCCCGGCTATGATGCTCCCGAAGGTCTGTTAAAATTTATGGTTTTGGATTTTTTACCGGCACCATTGACATCGCGATTATTGATGAAAACCTGTACAACGCCAGTGCAATGCGATTTCTGCATGCACGTACTAGCGCTGTTCACCTAGTAACAGCATGCAGACAATCACGATAATTCATTTCGTGATAGGTCAAAAACAAAAACTCAAGCTCAGTCTCAATTAAGTGTACAAACAAACGCTATACTCTGCTGCCCACATCGGCTTCCGAGACCCGTGACCTGGGGTCCACGTACATCATGACCGCGAGGTGTTCCCGCTGCTCCATGGGAAACTCGATGGTGTCCAGCATCAGGTTCCAGATGTACACCAGCACGGCCTCGTTGGTGGTGACACTGTGGTCGATCTCCTCGTCGTTCGCGGCCGTGTTGATCAACAGGTCTTTTTGAAACTTCGTGAAGGACAGCCGGACGTGGTCCGGGCGCTCGCGGCAGTGGGAGGCCAGGCGCTGGCCGATCAGGCTGAGCCCCACCTTGGCGTCCTTGATCAGCTGGTTGCTTAGGTTGCGCTCCAGTCGCTATCGTAAGGAAAAACCCCCCTCCCCATATCGAAAGCGTGCCCGTCTGAAAATTTGTGATGCGCATTTGTGACCTCAAATCCTGTCTGTCTTGCAAGAAGGCAAGTCCAGAAAGCGTTCCGCATTTTGCAGGCGGTTTGTGATGCTGTTGGGCTAAGAGCATACGCGTTTGTCATGCTAGGCGCCTACGTCAAAACCTCTCGAATGAGGCTTGGCATATGCCTGCAGTCCTCTACTGCAAGACAAATCTGATTTGTGTATGGAAATCCAGCATCAGAAACTTCGTTTCGATATGGGGAGGGGGGATTTTTCCTTTTGATAGCCGCATCAGCCCCAGGGTGCGCATGTGCGCCTGGATCTCGCCGCCGGAGGGCGCGTTGAAGTAGCAGTCGGGGACGTTCGCCGTGGGCATGATCAATGCGAGCGGGTCCTGGTACAGCTTGCTCCAGTCCTGGAGCAGCTGCTGCAGGCCGCCGTGGTCGCACACGCAGTGGGACAGGGCGATCCCGAGCACGCAGCCGCCGCGCTGCAACTTCGTCAGCTGCACCGTCATCACGGGGGCCACGCCCGAAAGGATCTTGTTGGGCATGTCCGTCTCGATGTCGCAGAAGTTAAGGTGGTCGATCGTGCGGTCGTGGTCGTGCAGGTCCGCGTAGCCCATGCCCTCCATGGTGGCCAACACCAGACTGCAGCCCTTGTCGTTGTGGGTGACCCACTTCTTCGCGCCGGCCACCGCCACGTCGTGGCTGAACTCGACGCGCCCGGCCAGCATCGGGTACCACGCGCACAGAATCGCCACCGCCTCCGCCACCCGCCCGGGCTCCAGGGTCTGCTTGAAAACCAGGCAGACGTCGAGGATTTTGTAGTCCAGCACGTACTCCTGGAAGATGCCGGTGCGCAGCCTATCCTGTGTAAAAACGCCCCCAGCCCCGAGTTGTCATGCAAACCTGCATGCCAAAAAAGTTTTTCGTGCGGAGCCCCATGCCAAGCATTTTCTCGCTGTGCTTTGGCATTTGTGATGCTTTAATAAGCGCGATATGTTAGGTCTGTGATGCTGCTGAACTAGCTAAACAGCATTACACTACGAGGACAAACCTGTCATGCGAAACAACCAAAGCTGGCGGATTTGTCTAGCTGATTTTCCAACTTGACTATGGGGTGTGGACGTTTTTGCTCAGGATACAGCCGCGTGCGGGTGTTGAAAATCCACTCCCGGGGCCGCAGCCCGTCCTTTGCGATCCGGTTCACCGTCGATATCAAATGTAAAAATGTCTGGGTCTGGAAGAATGCAACTTGTCATGCTGTTCTTGGACGGTAAAAAAATTTGTATTGCATGACCAGCAAGAGGGGTGCAGTTTGTGCTACCCGGACAGGGAATTTCTCATGCGGAAGGTGCATCAGGAAGCCCTCTAAATGTCTGCGATGCTAGGTCATGCATCACAAGCATCATGGGTCATGAGAAACATGCATGACAAATCTTGTATCCTTCCAGACCAAGATATTTTTGCATTTGATAGTCGACTGGTGCACCTGAATCAGCTGCCTTTTTCCGGTCTGCGACATGCTTTTCGATGTCTTTTTGCGATATGGAATTTGAAGTAAGTTGTGACTTATTACTATGGTGATCCTACAGGCAATGATCTGAAATGGTCGTGTCTTGCTGTGATATAGTAGTGAACTGGCACTGAAGAAAAATGTTAGTTATAGTTTTTATACGGGGGATAGAAAATAAATCCTTAATAACGGGGGATGCAACAAAGCACCTGCGCACCATGCGATTGAGACATTGTGGACAGAACGCCTTCATCGTAAGACTAAAACATAGCGTGCCACAACGAAAAGAACGATGAAATCAGCACGAGTAAGGACCGAACGAAAAGCGGAGCACAAGACTTGTTGCTCTTACCGAATCAGAGAGTGTGAAGCTTACTTACTCCATCGTGCGACAGAAAAGTGGACGAGACGGCAATCAGTATCCATGTTGAACGGGTAACGCGAAGCTTTACGGTTAGCAAAACGAATACAACCGAAAACGAGCCAAGGCAATAGCTGCGAAACGGTGAGTTATCTCTACTTCTTCTAGAACGAAGGTGTTGCACGAGTGAAGATATTTTTCATAGTACACCGAAGTTGTTTTCACGACATGAAACGAACTCACTTGGCTAGCAGTGACGCGGCGCACAAAACATTGCAGCGTGATTATGTAGCGGCTCACACTAACACTTCGATCATTAGCAGGAGCCTGCAAGTAAATTCTTGCTGTGCGTTGGGTTCAGTTGCTTTTTGAGACAAAACTCCCTTCGCTGATTAACAGAACACCAAGGCATCGAATCAAGCCCGTCCGCCAGGGCGCAGCAGGAAAAAAAAAAGCAAGCGAGGCTTTCGCTTTTGATCTATTGAGTAAAGTTTCTTAGAAGCATCTTATTTTTACATAGCGCTACGTGCGTACATTGAAAATGATAATGGTTTTTATGATGGAACGACACTGATCGTCCGAAATTCGCGCAAGATATGAAAGTCATTGATACGACCCGAGCAATTTACGTAAATTCCGGAATCTTGCCCGGATCGAGACACCGCCAAACTGAGCTTTTGCTGCCAAGCGAGATGCGACGAGCTTGGCAAAGAAACTTCCAGCTGTCGCAATTAATACCCCCAGACTACTCAGTAAGACGCTGCTTTCTTTTATGTTCATTTTTGTCCATTGCAATCTGTATTTCATCATTTCGTACTACAAACTCGGCGTACTACTTCGCTTTCTTAAACTTCTACATTGCGACTGTGTGTGGTCTTTGCTTCAGGTATGTGTACTCATCCTCCGGGTGGCGACTGAAAAAAGAAAAGCTCGTAGTTCCTCAAGGTCGCTGCTCTGCGGTTTCCTTTATCAGGCGCTTCGGGGCTCGCACGAAACCGCTGAAAAAAAAGTTCCAGTCAGTACCTGTGGTTAGTAAGTTCGTCGAAACAAATCTCAGAAATCAGTAGTGCATTCCAACTGAAAATATGCAGTTTCACGTTTCGTACTTACTATGCAAGAGCGCACTACCTAAATGAGCGGAAAATCTGAAATTATCAATGTGACTTTTACCCTCCCACCTCCGTGGCGCCGACATCGCATGCGTGATCATCCGCCCGCGGTCTTAAATACTAGTTGGTGATTTTCCCCCAGGATATCTATTTTTCGCATCAGCTCCTGCTCTTCGAATTTGTAGTTGTTCATCTTTTCCATGATTCTCCTGCCAGTTTTTTCCTGGTCCTGCATTTCCATATTCAAATCGCAAAACGTTTTGTTGTCCTTTTTCTTCTTGTCTTCTAGCTCGGCTAGCTTGTCCTTCAAGCGTTTGATTTCCGCGTTCGTTTCCGCCATCGTATCCAGCATTTCTTCACACTCATCACGCAGCCGGTTAGCCGTTGCGTCCGCGCCCTTCCTGTTCGCGTCAGCTTTTCGGATCTGGTCCCGCACGAACTTCAGCTGCTGTTGCAAGGTTCTTCGAGTTGTACTAGAACAAGGGCCGACGTCGACGCCCTGTGCATTCACTGTATCATAGGTAGAGGAAGTTCCAGTTCTTTCACAGGATGTTGAACCTAGAACGTGATGTTGTTCTCCTGCTCCAAGGTCCGAGGTGTCTGTAGTAGAGTTCGAATTCTTGGTCGGATCTTCGGCTTGCACTCTTGCATCATGCTGCTCCGACACGACCATTGTGGTTGGATCTACTTCGCTCTGCTCTTGCCACGGATAATGATGCACGGGGACGACCACCGCAGATGCACGACCAGTCGCGGCCCCCTGCACGTGGCCAGCACCGTGAGCCGCGTCTTCCGTACCGGAGTTGCACTGCTGCGAATCACCATACGAAGCTTGTTGTTGTGCTGCGATTTTGTTGTAGGAGCAGTTGTGCTGCATGGGCGTGCTCCTGGGATCATGGTAGTAATACTATCCTGAGCCACTTTCTCAGGACAAAAAAAGTCAAATATTGCATGTAGAACCCTGAAACCTCACCCCAATACGCAACTGCTCTTGCACCAGATTCTTCGAACATTATCTATTGCTCACAAAAACAAATGCACTATCAACATGATGCTAAAAGACTCTCAGAAGCATAGAAGCCGAATCGCGCACAGATATTCATGGCTGCAGCGAAGAGAGCTCTGAAACATTGACAGTTTGTATGAGCAGCATGAAAACTATCTTGCAACTTCTTTCTCACAAAGTATACTACTTTTACAAGTTGGTGGTCGCTAGTCCGAAGAATGGTAATTGTAGTAAGTACAAGTGCGGGTGCGTCTGCCGGGGGTTGCGCGTCGGGTCGATCTTTCGCCGGCTCATCGGCTCGGGGGTATCCAGGGGTAGAATACGGTTTTGATTTAGCGCAACAACACACATCCCGCTTCTTTTTGTCATGCCTGTAATTCACTGCCACTGACTCACATCAGATGCTTCGCATTCGCATAACAAAAAGCATGCATGGTGAACCAGAGTATTATCGCGATAGACCAAGAATGATCACCAGCGTTCGTTTTCATAGTCGCACTGTGACACATACTCCTCGTAGATGAATCGCCGCGCCATGGCCTCCAAGCGACGGTGTTTCTGTTTTCAAGGAGTACATTTGTTGTGTCTTGGAGCGGGGTAACAAAATAAAAAAAGAGGTCCTCGGGGGACCTCTTGTCCCCCCGGCCGGACGGACAAGAGGTCCCCCCCTTCTGTTGCCAGAGCGGCCGGCTCGCAGAGTTCCCCCCCCGTGTCGCCGCGCCGGCCATTTCGGGTCGAACGGTGGGGACCTCTTGTCCTGTATAGCAAATACATAGCCAATTTCTCTGCGCAACGGGGGGGGCAAGAGGTCCCCGCCCCGATTCGCCCGAAATATCCGACGCGGCGACACGGGGGGGGGGGAACTCCGCGTGCCGGACGCTCCGGCAGCAAAACGAGGGGACCTCTTGTCCGCCCGGCCGGGGGGACAAGAGGTCCCCCGAGGACCTCTTTTTTTATTTTGTTACCCCGCTCTTGTCAGACTCATCAATCTGGGAGCTTTTCTCCCTCATGAGGTGTTTCTAATCCGCTACAGCACAGGAGAAAGAAAAAGAATCATCGCAAATACATCGCAATGACAATAAAGTACGTTCCGCAGGTGCAGAATAGAAGCGTCCAAAGCGGCCTGGTACACGACAAAGTTGAAGCGCTTGTTAGAATCGTGCTTCGGCAACATCTTGTACTGTTTCAGGTATTCCACGCACTGTCCCACATCCTGCGCTACACCATGCGCCTTGATCATCGCGGCGGTAGCGTGGCTGGATAGTTTTGGGTACATTGTTTACGCAAGACAAAAGCGTCGATTCGTCACAATAAAAAAATCCATACAATGTAGTCATCGTTTTTTCATCCCAAGTACAACTGCCGAGAATCATCCAGCAAGCTAGGTAATACGAGTTCCGCGCCGGCAAGCGCTTGTAGATGTCCAGCATTGCCCAATGGTACTTGGCCGGTTCATGGCACTTCTCGAAGCTGCGAATGATGAGGGTGAACAGTTTGGTTTTGATCTCCACCTGCATCTGGCGCAACCACTTCAGAAAATGCCATACCAGGTTGAAGGCCTCGAACGGGCGGTCGGTTTCCAGGGGCTTCATCAACTGCACAATCACGTCGTTCAGCAGCTTCTCGTCGATCCCGTAGGAGTTAATCCGCTTCGAGTAGTGCTTGATGATGTAGTCGAAGGTTTTGGGGTAGTCAATGAAATCCTGCTTCGTGTCGTAATAATAATCCTCGAACCTGATACGATTTGTTTCATTTGTCGCAAAGAAATGATTTATTATTGTCCATGACAAAAAATGTCACCTCCCGTCAGGGTCGCAACGCTTCAGTACACTCCGATCTATCAGACGTGAGGAGGGCAGTCGAGAGCATCCTATAAAACAGAAAAAGTACTGCTTCCGAGGCTTGGTCGGATCGATGAACATGTGCGGCTCGGCTGGTACACCCGGACCCGGGTCGTTCTGGTAGTTGCGCCGCTTCACCTCGTACCACTTTTCCTGCATTATTTGCTGCGCGCTGGCACCACGATCCTGGGCGACCAGATGCTGCTCTATGCGCTGCGTCGGAGAACCGTTCCCGTTGGGTAACTTGCTGCCATCTTGCTGCTGGTGCATCATGATCTTATCCTGGCTGGCGTAAGTATTCTCATTCGTCGACGACGGCATGTGCATTTGCGAGCTGAGATGCTGATGCTGTCCCGCATTGTTCAGCATTCCGATCGCCATTGCTGAAACACTCTGAGGGGCCGCAGACGGTCCTCCGGTCAACATTGCGCTCGCGGTGGCAGTGCGGTTGTTCGGGTTCGGCCCGCCCAAACAATTAGTACTTTGTTGCTGCTCCTCCACACCAGTGGATGTGCTCGTCGCTCCATAGCCGTTCGCGTGCTGACCGTGCAACATGTTGTGGGAGTTGTGCTGGTGATAGTGGTTCGCGTTGTAGTTTGCCAAACCAGATTTGGTCAAGCCCATCGTGCCGATGGAACCAGAAATGGTTTTGTGCATCGTGCCAGCAGTAGTCGCGTTGTTGGTCAGCGCCACAGATCCCTGGAAAGGATTGCCGCTCATGCTGCTGTCATTGCTTCCATTCATTGTTGTACCCGTGGTACCTTGCAGCTGGCTCGCCATGAATTGCTGGTGTTGATGCAGATGATCCGTAGCTGCGGAAGATGGTTCTTGGTGGGAAGTAGAAGCCAGATGCTGTTGAGCCAATCAATGCCGCTTGTTTCGGCTGCAGCTGCCCAGAAGACATGTTACTTCTGGGAGCACCTGGGGCCGCTGGAGCGCCACCTCCGTACATCCCTGCCGGAGCAGCGCCGAAAGCAGTACTGGCCGGGTTGAAGGCCGTCGGGGGCACCACGCCCGCGGCATTCAAGAACGGAAACGAGGTGGCAGGAGCGCTTGCTGGGTGGAGCCTGAGAGCTGCGAAGCGGTGAGTTATGATCTCTACTTTTTTTAGAACGAGAACGTTGTACTTGCACGAGTGATCTTTTTCGTAGTACACCGAAGTTTTCACAACATGAAACAAACTCACTTGGCTAGCAGTGACGCGGCGCACAGAACATTGCAGCGTGATGTAGCGGCTCCCAGTTTAACACTTGGATTATTAGCAGGACCCTTCAACTAAATTCTCGCTGTGCGACGTACTGCGAAGGCCGACATCGGCATCTTCAGTAAAGGATGCTCATGTATTGCGACATGATCGCATGAACGGTCGTCTACAGGTCAACTCTGTTCTTTTTCCCTTCTATGGCGTCTTGCTTGGCTTCTGTTCGCTTTTTTGCCTTCGCAGCTAGCATGGCCGTGTAGAGCCGTTTGTTCTGGAAAGCGTCCTCGGTCGCTACCGTGTCCGCGGAAAATTCTGGCTCCCGCAGCACCACCTCCTCCCCGTGGTTCTGGTAGTAGTACCGGAATTGCAGGTCGTGGTGATAGAGGTTCGCCCGCTGGTCATAGAGGTGACAAGATAGGTCCCGATGATTTTGATTGCATCTAGCATCAGTGGAATTTTTTTTAAAATCTACTTCTCTCTTTTATGCAAAGAATTTGTTGTCGTGTCAGGTGTACGTGTAAGTACCCGGGGCGGGTGAGCACAGGCGTCCTTTCTGTGGAATAAAGTAGATCGCGGAAATGAAAAAAAGCGTTGTATCAAAACCATGAGTTCTGTTCCGTTTTCATATTTGAACGATGCCGACAGCTCAAGCTTGTCCTCAAGTTTCCCATTGCCAATGTCCGTGTCCAGTGGTCGCGGCCAGAACAAGTGCCCCCAGTGCGTGTAATGCGTCGGGTTGGAGGTGTCCAATGTCACGTCCGAGTAGAGCGTGACATCCCACGTGATCAAAAAACCGTGCCAATCGTCCGGTACCGGCTCCGGGAACTTGTGCTCCCGCCGGGTGCGCCGTATCAAATGTAAAAATGTCTGGGTCTGAAAGATTGCAACTTGTCATGCTGTTTTTGGACTCTAAAATGGGGCCCCCTAATGGGGAACCCTAAACCCTGAAACCTAAACCAAACCCGGGGAGATCCCGCCGCGACGGATGCCCATCTTGTCAAGTGCGATCCCTACATGCATAGTTTTTTGGAAAAGGAAAGCAAAAAGAGAAGGATGAAGCAAAAAAAATCGAGCGAGGCGAGTGAATCTCTCGGCGGCCTATGAAGGACAATCCAGTGGCCAACTGTTTTTGGACTCTAAAAAAATTTGTATTGCATGACCAGCAAGAGGGGCACAGTTTGTGCTACACGGGCAGGGCATTTCTCATGCGGAAGGTGCATCGGAAAGCCCTCTAAAAGTCTGCGATGCTAGGTCATGCATTACAGGCATCGTGGGTCATGAGAAATGCGCATGACAAATCTTGCATTCTTCCAGACCCAGACATTTTTGCATTTGATACGCCGACCACATTCCCAATCTGCGTCGTAGCTGTCTGCTTCAAAGTCGATCGTGCAGATCTGTTTCCGTTTGAGACCCAGCATTGCAAACAGCGCACAGAAGGGTGGCGTCGAAGTACAACTCGGATGCATTTGCTGCATCTTTCCCACGAGACGTGTACTACTTATGGTACATACCACAATAGAAAAATGCTGCGCGGAATCGCTTGGATCCAACGCGCGGAAGCAGCCCAGAAAAGGCTTGGACAACTTGGCACAAGTTCATCGGCTGAACCACGACATGCTCCCGATTTTTGCACCAATGAAGGTGAACTACAAAACAAGTCACAATACACATATCAAAAATTCGAATTCTGCGCACCAGATGGGGTAACATTCTGTAACACTCTAGTTGTACCGCTGCCTTTTTCCCGCCGTAGAACTTCTGGTTTTGGAAGACGCCGAAATGGGCAAACCGGATGGGCGTGGTGGTGGTGTTCGACCGCGTGTAGAGGGAGAGCGGTGAAAAGTCGATCCCGTAGTCGTTGTCGGTGCCCCACGCCACGTTATCGCGCCACCAGGCCGGATCGCTCACCGGCTGCGCGTAGATGCGGCCCTTGGACGGGATCAGAACCCCGGTGTCCTCCTTGAGCACCCGGTCGCGGGCATCGAAAAAATCCCCGATCACCACATCCGTCAGTAGACCATGCCCCATCCACTCCGACACCAGCACGTCCGCAGACTTCGGCTCGATCTCGTTTACGCTGGCCACCACCGTGATGCGGTCCGCGAATCTGGGCAATAGATCGTGATCATGATAGGAACTAATACAGAACAGACATGCATTCACACACTGAATACCTCTACTGCGCTTGGCACAGTAGAAGTTTTCGCGAGTAGAAAAACGTCAGGACTGTCACGACAAGCAAGCTAGTCGCTCGTACAAAATAAGCCTGCGTGTAGTAACCATGGGAAGTACCCGTTTTTCGCGATCACCTGCTTTGCTTGCACGCGAACCCTGGAGCGCTCGACGCAGTAGGTGTGGTCCGCTCCGAGTCGGGCTGCCAGGATACTCAGCACCCCGCTGCCGCAGCCGAAATCCACCACAATTTTGCCTTTCACGCCGGCGCGCTGCAGCGCTTTCAGGTACTGGTCCGTCCGGTACTTATCCGTTACCATAATCTTGTGCGTCTCCGCGAGCTCGTAGTTGCGAAAGTACTCACCACTCTCCTCGTACGCTGTCGCCCGGGTATACAATGAGGCATCTTCGTCCTCCCTCGCGGCGGCATCAGCATTTTTCGTGCCCGCTTCGTCCAGCTGCACGTCGTCGTCCAGCTCGTCATCGTCTTGTTCGCCTTGATGTGTCGTTTCCACCACGTCTTTTGGCGGCGCGGCCCTCGCGATCGGCTTAAACCGATCCTCCTCCTGCATCTTTTGGCGCCTTTCGTGAAGCTTTTTGTGTTTCGTTTTCTGGTGGTCCACCATCATTTTTTGCATCACGCGCTCCACGGCCGCGTTCACATCTTCACCCTCGCGCAACTGCATGTCGTTTTCGTCCAACGAAAATCCAAGGCAACAGCGCAAGCGAAGCGCCACGGACACAAACGCAAGAACGAGAGCCCGCATTCTCATTTTTGCCACAGGCACGACTCCTGGCATTAGAAATGACGATACAACATGCGCTCACCTGAAGATGATCGCACTTACTCCGCAACAATCTTAGGTCGAAGAATAAATTCCTCCTTGTACGTAGTGTGTGTGCTATTTTCTTGCTACATGTTGTGCTCGCCTCTGTACACTCGGCGCAAAAAGTTTCAGGGTGGTTAACCACAGGGTCTGTGATCTTACTCTATGCCTTTGCGCTTGCTGCTGTGGCATAAAGCCTCATGTACTTCTAATTTCACGAACCGGAGCAAATGGATCGCATCGCGAATTCACGCGCGTGCTTCGGCTCTCAAAACAGAAAGCGAACGGCTGGTGGTCGATGTAAGAACAGCCCTGTCCACTACGACATCAAAAAAAAAAATGCTCCACGAAGTGCGAGCTGTGTTTGCACTTAATTTCTGCGATCGGTCGATAAGTAAAATGCTCACGCAAGCGGACTACGACACAGTTTGCACATGGTCGGTGACCGCGCGCGGGTGGCAAGCGCTCCGACTTCTAGAACGCGAGCTACGTAGTGGCGCTGTGCGCGAGCGCTGCAGCGTGCTCGAACAGGCGCCAGCCCGACGAGATCAAAGCACGACCCGCGCCCGTCCCCAACGGGCGAAGTGCATGCGCGTGCTCTGTAGGCCGCGCAAAGCGACAGCGAGCAGGATCCGGATAAGGGGGCACCGCCGCGGTGGTAAGTCGCAGCGCAACGCGTAGCCAAAAGCGAGGCCACTTTGTCCGAACAATTTGCGCGCTACCTGTTCGCAGCCCCTTCGGCAGAAATACCGCAGGCGCCCGCCTTCCGGTAGGAAAGCCGCTTCCCGCTTGGTGGCAGGCGCCCGATGCGGCCACTGGTGCCATTACGTTCGAGCGAGGCACGTGCGTCGTTGGCAAATTTGGCAGCCGCCCGTCTGCACATCGGCTCGCTGGCGCTCCGGCCCCGCACTGAAGGCCGGCCCTCGCAATTTCCCTGCCTTTTCCCGTATCGTCGCTCGGCTGATATAGTTTCGGCCTCCAGTGCTCTAATCCCATGGACCCGACCGCCTCGATTTCATACCGCGCCTCCCTTTCCCCGGGTGGCAAGGCTTACCCTTGGGGCATTTCCGCCGCTGCCGGCGCGGTGCCTGCCGCCGGTGAAGGTGCGGGCGCGCAGCCTGCCGCCCTTATCCCAGTCCTTCTCCTTCCGTTCCCGAGGAGCCAACTGGGCCAAACCTCTTCGGGGGTTGGCCACGCTCGCGCGACTGGCGCCGCGCCGGCCCGTCTCCGCATCATCCTCATTCCAGCCGATACGTTTGGAAACTAGAAACAGGAGCTGAAGCAAATTTGGAAAGCCAGTCTGTAGGAGCGCCAGCAGCTTTGTGGGACCGAATACCCCCCCCCCACCTCCGGGGGCGATGTTTAAAAACCCCGCAAAGGCCCCCGGTAGGCAGGGACCCAATTTCGTCTGCCTACTTGAGTAGCTCCCGAAGAGACTGCGGTAGGCGGAGCGGTTCCAGGTCGATCGCGGTCCGGCTCATGCCCTTGGGCCCGCCCCGCGTCTCCCGCAAAGGGGCCGCCCGCGGCCCGTCCGACCGTGCAAAGCCGCGCGCCGGCCGGCGCAACAGGCCCCGGGGGCGCGCCTCCCGTCCGAAAAGGCCCGCGGAATGCTTGCAAATGGGGCCGCGGGCAGCCGGGCAGCAGCGCCAGGAAAACTGGCGAGACGTCTCATCCTGGGCGGGAAGTTTTGCAAGATGCCCGCGGCCACCGGGCTCGTCGCCTGCGGGGCCTGCGGCCCCGAATCTTGCCAGCCAGGGCGCAGCAAGGCGCTGCGGGGCTGGCGCTGTTCTGGCGCGCGCACCGTGCGGGCCAATTGTCCACAAGTTCCGGGACCGTCTCCCCCCGCCGCAGGATGCTGAACCTGGTCAGGGCTAGTAAAATGGCCGCAGTTTCGTAAAACTCTAGACAACTATAGACCCGTCTCGTGCGAGTCGAGAGGGCGAGGCGCACGCCGTCCACGAAGATGGCAACGCCCAGGAGCTCCGGGCCGGGCGACTCTGTGGAGATCGCCGCAGTGCTACGAACCGGAGCCGCCGGCGTGTCACTTCTGTCGGGACCGTCAAGAACTGCAAGCAGGGCATGGCAATGCTCGCCCTCGCGATTTGCGCGAAACCAAACGAGCGCGCTGCGCAAGCGATCGCCGAGGCGCTCCCCACTGTCGGCGCAGTTCGCCCGGCCGTATATGGGGACAAGCCAGGCACGGCCCAGGCCGCCGAAATTCGTCCCGAAGCAAAACTGAGGGCCCCCGGCAACATCAAAAGACAGCTGCTCCGCCACGCAGTGCGAGTTTTAGAGCAGCGTCGGGTTGGAGTTTTCACTTGACATGATTTCGGGAAAAAAGTCCCTTCGCTGACTCACAGAACACCATGGCATCGAAACAAGCCCGTCCGCCAGGACGCAGCAGGAAGAAGACATTCAAGCAAGGCTTTCGCTTTCGACTTATTGACTGAAGTTTCTTCGAAGCATTTTATTTTTACATAGCGCGCATGCTACGTGCGTACATTGATGATAATGGTTTTTATGATGGAACGACACTGATCGTCCGAAATTCGCGCAAGATATGAAAGTCATTGATACGACCCGAGCAATTTACGTAAATTNGGGGGGGGGGGAACTCCGCGTGCCGGACGCTCCGGCAGCAAAACGAGGGGACCTCTTGTCCGCCCGGCCGGGGGGACAAGAGGTCCCCCGAGGACCTCTTTTTTTATTTTGTTACCCCGCTCTTGTCAGACTCATCAATCTGGGAGCTTTTCTCCCTCATGAGGTGTTTCTAATCCGCTACAGCACAGGAGAAAGAAAAAGAATCATCGCAAATACATCGCAATGACAATAAAGTACGTTCCGCAGGTGCAGAATAGAAGCGTCCAAAGCGGCCTGGTACACGACAAAGTTGAAGCGCTTGTTAGAATCGTGCTTCGGCAACATCTTGTACTGTTTCAGGTATTCCACGCACTGTCCCACATCCTGCGCTACACCATGCGCCTTGATCATCGCGGCGGTAGCGTGGCTGGATAGTTTTGGGTACATTGTTTACGCAAGACAAAAGCGTCGATTCGTCACAATAAAAAAATCCATACAATGTAGTCATCGTTTTTTCATCCCAAGTACAACTGCCGAGAATCATCCAGCAAGCTAGGTAATACGAGTTCCGCGCCGGCAAGCGCTTGTAGATGTCCAGCATTGCCCAATGGTACTTGGCCGGTTCATGGCACTTCTCGAAGCTGCGAATGATGAGGGTGAACAGTTTGGTTTTGATCTCCACCTGCATCTGGCGCAACCACTTCAGAAAATGCCATACCAGGTTGAAGGCCTCGAACGGGCGGTCGGTTTCCAGGGGCTTCATCAACTGCACAATCACGTCGTTCAGCAGCTTCTCGTCGATCCCGTAGGAGTTAATCCGCTTCGAGTAGTGCTTGATGATGTAGTCGAAGGTTTTGGGGTAGTCAATGAAATCCTGCTTCGTGTCGTAATAATAATCCTCGAACCTGATACGATTTGTTTCATTTGTCGCAAAGAAATGATTTATTATTGTCCATGACAAAAAATGTCACCTCCCGTCAGGGTCGCAACGCTTCAGTACACTCCGATCTATCAGACGTGAGGAGGGCAGTCGAGAGCATCCTATAAAACAGAAAAAGTACTGCTTCCGAGGCTTGGTCGGATCGATGAACATGTGCGGCTCGGCTGGTACACCCGGACCCGGGTCGTTCTGGTAGTTGCGCCGCTTCACCTCGTACCACTTTTCCTGCATTATTTGCTGCGCGCTGGCACCACGATCCTGGGCGACCAGATGCTGCTCTATGCGCTGCGTCGGAGAACCGTTCCCGTTGGGTAACTTGCTGCCATCTTGCTGCTGGTGCATCATGATCTTATCCTGGCTGGCGTAAGTATTCTCATTCGTCGACGACGGCATGTGCATTTGCGAGCTGAGATGCTGATGCTGTCCCGCATTGTTCAGCATTCCGATCGCCATTGCTGAAACACTCTGAGGGGCCGCAGACGGTCCTCCGGTCAACATTGCGCTCGCGGTGGCAGTGCGGTTGTTCGGGTTCGGCCCGCCCAAACAATTAGTACTTTGTTGCTGCTCCTCCACACCAGTGGATGTGCTCGTCGCTCCATAGCCGTTCGCGTGCTGACCGTGCAACATGTTGTGGGAGTTGTGCTGGTGATAGTGGTTCGCGTTGTAGTTTGCCAAACCAGATTTGGTCAAGCCCATCGTGCCGATGGAACCAGAAATGGTTTTGTGCATCGTGCCAGCAGTAGTCGCGTTGTTGGTCAGCGCCACAGATCCCTGGAAAGGATTGCCGCTCATGCTGCTGTCATTGCTTCCATTCATTGTTGTACCCGTGGTACCTTGCAGCTGGCTCGCCATGAATTGCTGGTGTTGATGCAGATGATCCGTAGCTGCGGAAGATGGTTCTTGGTGGGAAGTAGAAGCCAGATGCTGTTGAGCCAATCAATGCCGCTTGTTTCGGCTGCAGCTGCCCAGAAGACATGTTACTTCTGGGAGCACCTGGGGCCGCTGGAGCGCCACCTCCGTACATCCCTGCCGGAGCAGCGCCGAAAGCAGTACTGGCCGGGTTGAAGGCCGTCGGGGGCACCACGCCCGCGGCATTCAAGAACGGAAACGAGGTGGCAGGAGCGCTTGCTGGGTGGAGCCTGAGAGCTGCGAAGCGGTGAGTTATGATCTCTACTTTTTTTAGAACGAGAACGTTGTACTTGCACGAGTGATCTTTTTCGTAGTACACCGAAGTTTTCACAACATGAAACAAACTCACTTGGCTAGCAGTGACGCGGCGCACAGAACATTGCAGCGTGATGTAGCGGCTCCCAGTTTAACACTTGGATTATTAGCAGGACCCTTCAACTAAATTCTCGCTGTGCGACGTACTGCGAAGGCCGACATCGGCATCTTCAGTAAAGGATGCTCATGTATTGCGACATGATCGCATGAACGGTCGTCTACAGGTCAACTCTGTTCTTTTTCCCTTCTATGGCGTCTTGCTTGGCTTCTGTTCGCTTTTTTGCCTTCGCAGCTAGCATGGCCGTGTAGAGCCGTTTGTTCTGGAAAGCGTCCTCGGTCGCTACCGTGTCCGCGGAAAATTCTGGCTCCCGCAGCACCACCTCCTCCCCGTGGTTCTGGTAGTAGTACCGGAATTGCAGGTCGTGGTGATAGAGGTTCGCCCGCTGGTCATAGAGGTGACAAGATAGGTCCCGATGATTTTGATTGCATCTAGCATCAGTGGAATTTTTTTTAAAATCTACTTCTCTCTTTTATGCAAAGAATTTGTTGTCGTGTCAGGTGTACGTGTAAGTACCCGGGGCGGGTGAGCACAGGCGTCCTTTCTGTGGAATAAAGTAGATCGCGGAAATGAAAAAAAGCGTTGTATCAAAACCATGAGTTCTGTTCCGTTTTCATATTTGAACGATGCCGACAGCTCAAGCTTGTCCTCAAGTTTCCCATTGCCAATGTCCGTGTCCAGTGGTCGCGGCCAGAACAAGTGCCCCCAGTGCGTGTAATGCGTCGGGTTGGAGGTGTCCAATGTCACGTCCGAGTAGAGCGTGACATCCCACGTGATCAAAAAACCGTGCCAATCGTCCGGTACCGGCTCCGGGAACTTGTGCTCCCGCCGGGTGCGCCGTATCAAATGTAAAAATGTCTGGGTCTGAAAGATTGCAACTTGTCATGCTGTTTTTGGACTCTAAAATGGGGCCCCCTAATGGGGAACCCTAAACCCTGAAACCTAAACCAAACCCGGGGAGATCCCGCCGCGACGGATGCCCATCTTGTCAAGTGCGATCCCTACATGCATAGTTTTTTGGAAAAGGAAAGCAAAAAGAGAAGGATGAAGCAAAAAAAATCGAGCGAGGCGAGTGAATCTCTCGGCGGCCTATGAAGGACAATCCAGTGGCCAACTGTTTTTGGACTCTAAAAAAATTTGTATTGCATGACCAGCAAGAGGGGCACAGTTTGTGCTACACGGGCAGGGCATTTCTCATGCGGAAGGTGCATCGGAAAGCCCTCTAAAAGTCTGCGATGCTAGGTCATGCATTACAGGCATCGTGGGTCATGAGAAATGCGCATGACAAATCTTGCATTCTTCCAGACCCAGACATTTTTGCATTTGATACGCCGACCACATTCCCAATCTGCGTCGTAGCTGTCTGCTTCAAAGTCGATCGTGCAGATCTGTTTCCGTTTGAGACCCAGCATTGCAAACAGCGCACAGAAGGGTGGCGTCGAAGTACAACTCGGATGCATTTGCTGCATCTTTCCCACGAGACGTGTACTACTTATGGTACATACCACAATAGAAAAATGCTGCGCGGAATCGCTTGGATCCAACGCGCGGAAGCAGCCCAGAAAAGGCTTGGACAACTTGGCACAAGTTCATCGGCTGAACCACGACATGCTCCCGATTTTTGCACCAATGAAGGTGAACTACAAAACAAGTCACAATACACATATCAAAAATTCGAATTCTGCGCACCAGATGGGGTAACATTCTGTAACACTCTAGTTGTACCGCTGCCTTTTTCCCGCCGTAGAACTTCTGGTTTTGGAAGACGCCGAAATGGGCAAACCGGATGGGCGTGGTGGTGGTGTTCGACCGCGTGTAGAGGGAGAGCGGTGAAAAGTCGATCCCGTAGTCGTTGTCGGTGCCCCACGCCACGTTATCGCGCCACCAGGCCGGATCGCTCACCGGCTGCGCGTAGATGCGGCCCTTGGACGGGATCAGAACCCCGGTGTCCTCCTTGAGCACCCGGTCGCGGGCATCGAAAAAATCCCCGATCACCACATCCGTCAGTAGACCATGCCCCATCCACTCCGACACCAGCACGTCCGCAGACTTCGGCTCGATCTCGTTTACGCTGGCCACCACCGTGATGCGGTCCGCGAATCTGGGCAATAGATCGTGATCATGATAGGAACTAATACAGAACAGACATGCATTCACACACTGAATACCTCTACTGCGCTTGGCACAGTAGAAGTTTTCGCGAGTAGAAAAACGTCAGGACTGTCACGACAAGCAAGCTAGTCGCTCGTACAAAATAAGCCTGCGTGTAGTAACCATGGGAAGTACCCGTTTTTCGCGATCACCTGCTTTGCTTGCACGCGAACCCTGGAGCGCTCGACGCAGTAGGTGTGGTCCGCTCCGAGTCGGGCTGCCAGGATACTCAGCACCCCGCTGCCGCAGCCGAAATCCACCACAATTTTGCCTTTCACGCCGGCGCGCTGCAGCGCTTTCAGGTACTGGTCCGTCCGGTACTTATCCGTTACCATAATCTTGTGCGTCTCCGCGAGCTCGTAGTTGCGAAAGTACTCACCACTCTCCTCGTACGCTGTCGCCCGGGTATACAATGAGGCATCTTCGTCCTCCCTCGCGGCGGCATCAGCATTTTTCGTGCCCGCTTCGTCCAGCTGCACGTCGTCGTCCAGCTCGTCATCGTCTTGTTCGCCTTGATGTGTCGTTTCCACCACGTCTTTTGGCGGCGCGGCCCTCGCGATCGGCTTAAACCGATCCTCCTCCTGCATCTTTTGGCGCCTTTCGTGAAGCTTTTTGTGTTTCGTTTTCTGGTGGTCCACCATCATTTTTTGCATCACGCGCTCCACGGCCGCGTTCACATCTTCACCCTCGCGCAACTGCATGTCGTTTTCGTCCAACGAAAATCCAAGGCAACAGCGCAAGCGAAGCGCCACGGACACAAACGCAAGAACGAGAGCCCGCATTCTCATTTTTGCCACAGGCACGACTCCTGGCATTAGAAATGACGATACAACATGCGCTCACCTGAAGATGATCGCACTTACTCCGCAACAATCTTAGGTCGAAGAATAAATTCCTCCTTGTACGTAGTGTGTGTGCTATTTTCTTGCTACATGTTGTGCTCGCCTCTGTACACTCGGCGCAAAAAGTTTCAGGGTGGTTAACCACAGGGTCTGTGATCTTACTCTATGCCTTTGCGCTTGCTGCTGTGGCATAAAGCCTCATGTACTTCTAATTTCACGAACCGGAGCAAATGGATCGCATCGCGAATTCACGCGCGTGCTTCGGCTCTCAAAACAGAAAGCGAACGGCTGGTGGTCGATGTAAGAACAGCCCTGTCCACTACGACATCAAAAAAAAAAATGCTCCACGAAGTGCGAGCTGTGTTTGCACTTAATTTCTGCGATCGGTCGATAAGTAAAATGCTCACGCAAGCGGACTACGACACAGTTTGCACATGGTCGGTGACCGCGCGCGGGTGGCAAGCGCTCCGACTTCTAGAACGCGAGCTACGTAGTGGCGCTGTGCGCGAGCGCTGCAGCGTGCTCGAACAGGCGCCAGCCCGACGAGATCAAAGCACGACCCGCGCCCGTCCCCAACGGGCGAAGTGCATGCGCGTGCTCTGTAGGCCGCGCAAAGCGACAGCGAGCAGGATCCGGATAAGGGGGCACCGCCGCGGTGGTAAGTCGCAGCGCAACGCGTAGCCAAAAGCGAGGCCACTTTGTCCGAACAATTTGCGCGCTACCTGTTCGCAGCCCCTTCGGCAGAAATACCGCAGGCGCCCGCCTTCCGGTAGGAAAGCCGCTTCCCGCTTGGTGGCAGGCGCCCGATGCGGCCACTGGTGCCATTACGTTCGAGCGAGGCACGTGCGTCGTTGGCAAATTTGGCAGCCGCCCGTCTGCACATCGGCTCGCTGGCGCTCCGGCCCCGCACTGAAGGCCGGCCCTCGCAATTTCCCTGCCTTTTCCCGTATCGTCGCTCGGCTGATATAGTTTCGGCCTCCAGTGCTCTAATCCCATGGACCCGACCGCCTCGATTTCATACCGCGCCTCCCTTTCCCCGGGTGGCAAGGCTTACCCTTGGGGCATTTCCGCCGCTGCCGGCGCGGTGCCTGCCGCCGGTGAAGGTGCGGGCGCGCAGCCTGCCGCCCTTATCCCAGTCCTTCTCCTTCCGTTCCCGAGGAGCCAACTGGGCCAAACCTCTTCGGGGGTTGGCCACGCTCGCGCGACTGGCGCCGCGCCGGCCCGTCTCCGCATCATCCTCATTCCAGCCGATACGTTTGGAAACTAGAAACAGGAGCTGAAGCAAATTTGGAAAGCCAGTCTGTAGGAGCGCCAGCAGCTTTGTGGGACCGAATACCCCCCCCCCACCTCCGGGGGCGATGTTTAAAAACCCCGCAAAGGCCCCCGGTAGGCAGGGACCCAATTTCGTCTGCCTACTTGAGTAGCTCCCGAAGAGACTGCGGTAGGCGGAGCGGTTCCAGGTCGATCGCGGTCCGGCTCATGCCCTTGGGCCCGCCCCGCGTCTCCCGCAAAGGGGCCGCCCGCGGCCCGTCCGACCGTGCAAAGCCGCGCGCCGGCCGGCGCAACAGGCCCCGGGGGCGCGCCTCCCGTCCGAAAAGGCCCGCGGAATGCTTGCAAATGGGGCCGCGGGCAGCCGGGCAGCAGCGCCAGGAAAACTGGCGAGACGTCTCATCCTGGGCGGGAAGTTTTGCAAGATGCCCGCGGCCACCGGGCTCGTCGCCTGCGGGGCCTGCGGCCCCGAATCTTGCCAGCCAGGGCGCAGCAAGGCGCTGCGGGGCTGGCGCTGTTCTGGCGCGCGCACCGTGCGGGCCAATTGTCCACAAGTTCCGGGACCGTCTCCCCCCGCCGCAGGATGCTGAACCTGGTCAGGGCTAGTAAAATGGCCGCAGTTTCGTAAAACTCTAGACAACTATAGACCCGTCTCGTGCGAGTCGAGAGGGCGAGGCGCACGCCGTCCACGAAGATGGCAACGCCCAGGAGCTCCGGGCCGGGCGACTCTGTGGAGATCGCCGCAGTGCTACGAACCGGAGCCGCCGGCGTGTCACTTCTGTCGGGACCGTCAAGAACTGCAAGCAGGGCATGGCAATGCTCGCCCTCGCGATTTGCGCGAAACCAAACGAGCGCGCTGCGCAAGCGATCGCCGAGGCGCTCCCCACTGTCGGCGCAGTTCGCCCGGCCGTATATGGGGACAAGCCAGGCACGGCCCAGGCCGCCGAAATTCGTCCCGAAGCAAAACTGAGGGCCCCCGGCAACATCAAAAGACAGCTGCTCCGCCACGCAGTGCGAGTTTTAGAGCAGCGTCGGGTTGGAGTTTTCACTTGACATGATTTCGGGAAAAAAGTCCCTTCGCTGACTCACAGAACACCATGGCATCGAAACAAGCCCGTCCGCCAGGACGCAGCAGGAAGAAGACATTCAAGCAAGGCTTTCGCTTTCGACTTATTGACTGAAGTTTCTTCGAAGCATTTTATTTTTACATAGCGCGCATGCTACGTGCGTACATTGATGATAATGGTTTTTATGATGGAACGACACTGATCGTCCGAAATTCGCGCAAGATATGAAAGTCATTGATACGACCCGAGCAATTTACGTAAATTCCGGAAGATCTTGCCCGGATCGAGACACCGCCAAACTGAGCTTTTGCTGCCAAGCGAGATGCGACGAGCTTGGAAAGGAAGCTTCCAGCTGTCGCAATTAATACCCCCAGACTACTCAGTGAGACGCTGCTTTTTTTATGTTCATTTTCGTCCATTGCAATCTGTATATTTTTTCGCACTACAAACTCGGCGTACTACTTCGCTTTCTCAAACTTCTACATTGCGACTGTGTGTGGTCTTTGCTTCAGGTATGTGTACTCATTCTCATCCTCCGGGTGGCGACTGAAAAAAGAAAAACTCGTAGCTCCTCAAGGTCGCTGCTCTGCGGCTTCCAGTATCAGGCGCTTCGGGGCTCGCACGAAACCGCTGAAAAAAAAGTTCCAGTCAGTACCTGTAGTGAGTTCGTCGAAACAAATCTTTGAAATTGTGTATTCCAAAAAAAAATTCGCTGTTGCACGTTTCGTACTTACGATGCAAGAAGAAGAATGAACGGTCGAAAAATCTGAAATTATCAATGTGACTTTTACCCTCCCACCTCCGTGCCGCCGACATCGCATGCGTGATCATCCGCCCGCGGTCTTACTAGTTGATGATCTTCCCCCAGGATATCTATTTTTCGCATCAGCTCCTGCTCTTCGAATTTGTAATTGTTCATCTTTTCCATGATTCTCGTGCCAGTTTTTTCCTGGTCCTGCATTTCCATATTCAAATCGCAAAACGTTTTGTTGTCCTTTTTCTTCTTGTCTTCTAGCTCGGCTAGCTTGTCTTTCAAGCGTCTGATTTCCGCGTTCGTTTCCGACATCGTATCCAGCATTTCTTCACACTGATCACGCAGCCGGTTAGCCGTTGCGTCCGCGCCCTTCCTGTTCGCGTCAGCTTTTCGAATCTGGTCCCGCACGAACGTCAGCTGCTGTCCCAAGGTTCTCGAACAAGTGCCGACGTTCTGTGCATTGGCTGTATTACAGGTAGAGGAAGTTGTAGTTATTTCATAACCAACAACGTGATGTTGTTCTCCTGCTCCAAGGTCCGAGGTGTCCGTAGTAGAGTTCGAATTCTTGGTCGGATCTTCGGCTCGCACTCTTGCATCATGCTGCTCCGATGCGACCATTGTGCTTGGATCTACTTCGCTCTGCTCTTGCCACGGATAACGATGCACGGGGACGACCACCGCAGATGCACGACCAGTCGCTCGCTGCACGTGACCAACACAGTGAGCTGCGTCGTCAGTACCGGAGTTGCACTGCTGCGAATCACCATACGAAGCTTGTTGTGCTGCGATATTGTTGTAGGAACTGTTGTGCTGCATGGTCATGCTTCTTGGATGGTAGTTGTAATACGACGCGCCCGTATATTGGTGCTCGGTTTGGATTTTGTTTGCACTCGTCCCATTCGCCACTTGTAGTTGAGATCCGTTGTAGTGGTGTTGCTGATTCGCAACGTGGTAAGGATGCGATGGCTGGTGTTCATCTCCCGCGCCGTTGGGAACACCAGCGCCCCAGTTTTGATGATCGCGCTCTTCCTGACGAGGGCGGGCAGAGGAGTAAGGGTTCTGCTGAGTGGTAGAGGAATGTCCACCGTAGTGAGCATATGTCGCGACGCTTGCCTGGGCGGACGCGATTTGTAGTTGAGCTGCCTTACTATCACGTGGAAACTACTAACTTTCCCTCCTTCCTCTCGAGAGAAGCTGCACCAGCGACGCATGTGCAGGAAATGAAACGGGTGAATAAACCATGCACAAGTCTCTTGGTGGATAGAAGAAGCCAGGAGTTGAGTTATTTTCGATGAGTGCCGAAATCTCCATGAAAATATAGTGATGCCTGCTAGTTCTGTTTGAGCCACTGGCCCTGCATCGCCGTGCTCCTGGCCAACATTATGTATCACTTCATGCATCACCTCCATCACCCGACAAAAATACCACAAATGCTAAATCATTTGAAGGAAAGTGGTTATAGGAAGGTAGTTCCACTATGGGATAGGAATTGTACGGATTGCTGTACATTCGAGCGACGGCGGAGTTCATTTGCGCCCCCGGGTTCTCCACCAACGACTGATCCATTGACTCCGAGCGATCTGGCGGAGGTGGCGGCTGGGTCTGAGATAATGCGTCGCCGGACTGCTCGTCACCGCGCGCCGTGTGGTCCCCGCCCCCGGTTAGGTGGACTGCAGTGCTGGTAATTGTCCATTGCTGCTCCAAAGCCGTCGCTTGCTGCTGCTGCACCTGATCCCAGCACCGGTTGCCATTTTCGTGAGCGCTCCTGCAATTTTCATGCGCAACTTGTTCGGGAGCGGAAGACGATGACTCAGCCTCGGGCCAGGGAGTCTGCTGTTGATGGTGCATCTCTTCCCAACCGTTTCCGTTCGTGTATGTCGATCCCTCGGTGTTGTAAGGGTTCGTACTACCTTGTTCGACCCACGATGCGCCGAGATCCGCTTGCTGGGCCATGGCGGCTTGTCCAATAGGGTCGCCACCATTTGTCGCAGTGTTCTGCTCCGCTCGAGTATCCACTCCCCAAGGAGTTACCACGGGATGAACCATTGGAGTAATAATCCTGTCTCCACCAGCGGAGCTGTTGCTCAACGCCGGGTTCTTATATGAATTGATGCTGGAGCTCGCGGACTGCTGGCTGTTGTTGGTGTGATAGTTGTATTGCTGCGTCGTAGTCATAGCTGACGGAGCAGTTCCACAGTTACCACGCTGGTGGGTCTCTGGTGCAACGCAGGTGTTTCCCGCGGTTCCCTGCGCGAGAGTTGTAGCCCCACACGCTGCATCACGGTTGTTGTACAGGTGGTTCTGATTCTCGCTGGCGGCAGTCGAACCATTCGACGTCGTAGTGTTATTCTGTACAACGCCCATGTTGTGCTGCCCATGCGTGATCTGTTGATGGTCTATGGCTCCTGTCTGCGCCGGATGCTGAGCCACCTCCGGCTCCTGATCCTCCGCCTCTTGGCGCAAGTAGTTCTCGTACTCTTCTCTCGTCAAAACTTCCACGTCCTCCGCCTGCGGACGCAGCTCCAGGTTGCTTTTCTGCATGATTTGCATCCGAAACCGGACGACTGTAAGTTGTTGCTTGTGATGATGGCATGGGTAAGAACAAGAAGTCTTGCAAAAAACGAAAATAAAGAAAAGAGCAAAGTCAAAAATCGAAAGAGCTTGATGTTCCATATCTCATCTATAATATCCTCCAGCACTTCCTATTTGTATGTACGGGTGCGATTTTCCCAGTTCGGATCCTGTTCTCCTTCCCTCGCCGCGACGAAGCGCTTATGGTCGGGGTCACCGCGGAAGGCCCAGTTCTTGGAGCAGTAGGCGAAGGCCGGCGCATTTTCTTTGTTTTGTTTACTGAACAACTCGCAATCCTTGAACCAGAACTGGCACACCGGCCACTGCTTGCCCCGTTTCAGCACCCGCAGGTAGCCCAGGTAGTAGTTACCCACGAGGGCGTAGCGGGGATCCCCCTCGCCGCCGGGGCTCGATTTGGCGGGGTACTTCGGGGTCGGCGGCCGCGGCACCGCGTGCTCATACGCACCAGTTCCAGGAGCCAAGGCCGGGGCCGGGGGTGGCGTAGGAAGGTGTGCGGGTCGGGTACGGCCGCCGGCACCACCGGAGACGGAAGTAGAGGCCGAGGGCCCAGTCTCTGCGGCTCCGGGTGTAGTAGCAGTTGTAGAAGTTGTGTTGATCTTATTCGCTTCGGCCGTAGAAGTCCTCTCCGCATTTTTCGGATCGGTGATGTTGGCCTTGACCATCATTCCTAACATCTGAGCCGGCGAAATAATGTTTTTCATTTCCGTCTTCTTGGTACCTGATGTTCGTGGTTTGAAGAAACTTTTATCTCAGTCGTAAAGATAAGCGCTTGCTTCTGTCAGTCGCCGTGTCTCAGGATTAGAATCTCACAGAAAAACTATTGACGAATTCATTTTCATGGTGCATCTTCATCATGTTCATGATTGGCGTGACATGCAATTCAAATACATTAATGAGGCAGAGTACCTTTTTTCTTTTTCACCCCGCCACGCTTGGTCTTCTTTTTCACCTCCACCTCCGCCGCGTCATTCACATCCACTGGGTCGTCGGCGACCGACTCGCCGCCACTGTCAACTTCCTCGTCGTCGGACCTGAGCAATTCATTTAACGCCTGCACTCTAGACTGTAGATCAGATGGCGCTCTTTAACAGACCCTTCTAGCCTCCCAACACAAGATACAACTTTTTTTACGTCGAATAAGAGGTACATAGGTGTGCACTTTTTTATGCTGTGACATTTTTGTTTTTCTCCGAATCAAGTACCGTTAAAGAATATACAATTATGATCACTGAATTCACTCGTACCGGTCCAGCACCCCATTGTCATGATTTCCGACTCCCGTTGCACCCCCACCCTCCGCAGAAGTGGAGGAAAAACAGAAACTAGGGGGCAATCCAGGTTCGGCGCCCGCGGATTTCGTCCGCGGTTTCGCAAGAATGTCGTCATCGCCATCCTCGTCCCCCTCTAACGCACCCCAGCCACCCAAGGCCTGGTCCAGCTCTCCAACGGAATGCGAATGTCCCTCCTCCCGTGCCCGTATGTAGGCATCCTGGTCGTTGCGCGACGGTGCGGTCGATCCTGTGCGTGACGGCAGCATGGTGAAGATTGCGTACAAGGCTACTCGCGAAATCGCAGTCGGGCAGGTTGTACTTCTGGAAGCGTAGGGGTGGTGGAAAGTGGTCAATTTCTTTTGTACGCGGTTCTTCTCATCAATTGTTCTGGTCCTTGCTCGCCCCGTTTTTGATGCCCCAGGGTTGTTTGTATCTCACACCGGTGGTTCAGGGGAAGGACAGATAGATGACAAAAGGAGATCTACGGAGTTGTATTCGAAGGCTTTATTCACAACACTGATATCACTATTTTTACATGAGAAGGAACGCAAAGTAACATATTTTTGAGTGTTGATCTGATTCATCTACATCTTCATCTTGAGGTGGAAAAAACAAAAATGAAGTACAACAATTTTATTTAGTAGCTATTTCTTTGTGCCGTAGCTCGGCCGGGTCAAGGGATTGATCCTCTGTTCGTTGAAAAAGCAAAGAAACCGTACAACAAGCTACTTCGTTTTCGTCCCGGAGAACATGAATGCGGGAACCGAACCGGGCGGCGCGCCGCGGTGATGAAGAAGCTGTGCCTTCCGTTAGAAACGAAGTAGATCAATATTGGCAACAGTTTGTTTAATATACTAGCGGGTAAGTGTTCGATCGCCACGTAGCTAGATTTCACTTTTTTAGAGCTGATATTTATGAGAACTTGTTGTTTCCAGGTACTGTACTACTAGGACAACGGATAAATATTCAAACTATGCACCCTCTAAGTTTTGAGTTTGCCATGTATTTATTCGTAGTTGCAGGAAAAAGAAAATATGACATTCTGCAGTGCAACAATAACCTTTCAGTGTCGGTGTTCAACTGATCACTTCACACAAATCAAGCGGTTGACGAAGCGAAGACGACGTTAGCGAGAATTTTTTTTCTCACAACTTCTAGTCGCAAGAAAATCACAAATGGCTTCGAGAAGATGCATTTTCACCTCCAAGCAGTTCTCGGATTGGGCCGAATTTCATCTACTTCACGCACCACGAAACTGGGCTATGCGAAAATAAAGCTCTTTACCTCTTTCGATTCGATACGGATCCTGTGTGTTTTTCCCAAACTTTACAAAAACACAACGAAAAAGTAGATCTGCGACGCGCCGAAACGACTAAAGCATAAAACTTAGACCGCACGGCACGCAAATGAAGACTTTTCGCGTGTTAAAGATAAAACATGGGTGCAAAGTGGAGCTGTTTTCCGCAACGAGCGGTCATATGAATTAATCACGTGATGAACAAATAAGTAGCACACTTCTATCGACATTTGCCGAGATAAAAATCACGAAGCCGCGTAGTTTGCCTTTCTCTTTATGTCCTCTCCCTGAGGGCCTGCTGACCGCATTGTTCCCGAACCTTTCGGATAGCCTCATACACGTGCGCACAGGGAAGGCCCATCACTCTGCGTTCATCCGCAAGTGTGGTTCTGTCTTTATCTGCGCTGCATTCTGAGAGCACCTGCTTGAAAAACTCGTCGAAAGTTTCGAAAAGTGCGTGAAACGAGTGAACGAGCATTCCCCGTTCTCTGCAGGCCTCCCGGATGTAAAACTGCAGTTTCGGAAATTCTGGCGACATCTCGTTGACGCGACGCGCCCGCTCGGGCGAGAACGGGAACCACGACCAAAAAATTGCATGATCACACAAATACCCTTCAACTGCCGGTGCGTTCTCCAAGAGAACTCGAAGCGCCGCGGCTTCGTCCCGTGCACCTCCACGACACTCGTGCGCGACAGACGCGCTGTCTGTCACCCTGGCCTCGGTCGCGCAGGTTGATGTCGAGTCGTGGGTACAATCTGTGGAGGCAAAAAGTCCTGGTCCCCCCGGATGTTGACTCTCGCTCGAATTCCACCACCGCTGCCTGCCATCGCTGTCCTCCGCATCCAAATCAGAGCCGTCCATGATCTCCGCAAGCAGCTCGTCTATAGAGCACTTTCTCCACCTGTAGACACAGCGGCCCACTTCGCTCTTTGCTGCCGCGATCGCACGCGCATGAAGATCACCTTTTACTCTATTCACTGCTTGTGTCCTCGGGATCATATCATTCGGGTTGCCGGAACTAGTCACGGCATCAAACTCTGCTGGATATAATTGTTCCGAGACCTTGTACTTCTTCCGCATCCGTTCCACCTCTAGCTCGCATATTTTATCTTCTAGCCACGCCCCTCCGGCCTGTAACATGACTGGGGCATGACACCGCGTCACCGCGATATCCAGAGTTGCACAATGCGCAAAAATAAGCGCGCCGGCGGTTCCAACCATGGTTGCACAACACATCTGCCACCAACCTCCCGTCTTGTTTTCGGGTGCGGTCGTGCAAAGAGGCATAGCGTCGCTGTGTTCCGAAGCGCAGCTGCTGCCCTCCGGTTGTACTATGGCCCCTGCTTCGACGCTACCTTGCGCGGGCGAGCCTCTGTTTTGCCCACGACTTGCTGCGGCCATTCTTCTTGCAGTGCGTTTCTGCTTCCCGGAAGGCGGCTGCCGCTCTTTTAGGCGTTCTTTAAGGGTCGCCCAGTAGTGCTCATCGGTCGCTTCAATGTGTTTGACTAGTCCGCGAACCGACGAGCACCCCAACTTGTGGAAGAAATAGACCCACCGTATCACGTCGTTCGCGGTGGAAACCGCTGCTCCACGGCACACCGAGACGAGGTGGTCGCATGCATTTGTAATCTCTCTACCGCTAGGCACGACAAAGTCGCGCACCTGACCGAGCCTGTCACCATAGGAGACTGACAGCCTAGAGAGCCTTGCACGCACGGACTCCAACTCGTCTGCTAGTTGATCTTGATCTCCGGCGCTTGCAGGAAACTCATCTGTTTTCTGCGGTTGAGGAAGCATACTACCATATGCAGCATTTCGCGTGGAGGTCCTCTGCTCCTCCACTGCTTCTTGGCTATGTTGCGGGCCCGTCGAAGTTTTTCCTCCGAGCTGCACTCTGCCCGCGTTTCCCGTCCGTTTTTGTTTATTTCCGCTTCTGCTCAGGAACCTCGCTTCTTCTCTCGCTTGCTCCTTCAGAGCGATTTGAAAGCTATCGCTCCCAAGGCGAAGGCCACCACGACGACTAGAATCATCTGCGAGTGTAGTAGTTTTTGCTGCACTTCTCGTCGGAGAACTTGTGTCGCAAATCGCCGGCTTCTCTTTCTTCCGGGCTGCCTTTCGAACGTTTTCGGACACAGCCGAGGCACGATTTTTCTTTACATTGCTCGGTCCTTCTTCCACCTGTCCGCCGCTGCGAAACGCTGCGTTCTTTATTTGCCGGGTGCTGCGAGGAGCCGTCGTCCCCGACGGTGGACTCGAGGTCTTCTGCAGGACTTCTGGGCCATCTTCGCTAGAGTTCACACCCTCACGACCCACAGGAGAGGTTTGCGCTGCGTGGCTGTCTGCGATGAAGGTGGATACTTCATGATCCCCATCCGGAAATAGCGAGCAAGCAAAGGTGCGCTGCTCAGCTTGATGCAAGATGAAATTTTCGCACTTTTTACCTTGCTGCGTCAACGCACTGGGCGTGCTACGACGATCAAAATCTCCATCGTCCTCGGCACCCGATTCACTGGAAGAGGAAGAGTTATCTCCCTCGGAATCTTCTTGCCTTGGTCGAAGATGCGTGCTGGCGCCTGAAGGAATTGTAAGCACGGGTGTGCTTCTTGCATTCTCGTCTTCGTCAAACGAGAAATGCACACTGGTGCCTGCTTTTTTCAAGCGACTTTGGACGGGGCCTCCGCATCGCGAGCAGAGTTCATTCTTAGTAGCGGCACTATATGCTGTTCCAGCTGCAGTGGTCGGTGACGTAGGCCCTCGCCAGGCTGCGTTCTCGCCAAACGTGCGGATGATCCGGCCCATTTCGTCGCAGCACCCCGCGTCCACGGCAACCTGGTCGCACGACGGTCTCGTGGCTTCATGGCGCTCCGATATTTGGCCCCCAGCGATCGCACTGCCGTCGACGTTGAGCCCCAGCCGGGTCCGTAGCTTCATCACCTGACTTTCGGCGGCGGCGAGGAGGTATCTTAGTGCCTCCCGATCCTCCTCTGTTTCTGCGGGTTCGGGTTCAGGATCTCCGACTCCAGGGTGGAAACTCCCGGCCGCTCCCCGAGCCACGTTGAGGCGGCCGACCCAGAGGAGAAGCTTTAGTACTCGTAGCCACATCAGCCCACTACTGCCGACCATTTTTTTCGACTGCCGATTTCCACCACCTGCTTGTTCACCGCCCAGAAATATGTGAATAGCACTAACCTTCAACTTCAACTTTCACTTCGTATGCAGATGTTATTTGCTACTGCTACTTGTAATCGTAGCTGCAAGGAAAAAAAAAACAAGGAAAAAAAACCAACGACCTGGTGATACAATGGTGTAACCCACAGAAATGGTGCAACACTTGGAGTTCAATTCCCTCAAATCATCGCACAAACCTTGCAAATCACTCCTGCGCATAGTGGCCGCGGTGTTCAAAGGGTAGAGTCGGGAGCAACTGACAATGAAGATCGTTGTAAACCACGTGTAGAGTCGTGTCTGGGATCGCACACGAAAAACGGACAGCGCGGATCTGTACAAAAAATGCTCGAGATTGATCTTCCACTCGTGGTTCGTTGTCGTGGGCTACTGTAGATCTGCACTGGACAAGTGCAGTCCAATCTGAGACTGACACTGCCACTGTCTCAACATCATGCCAAGTAGGCAAGTAGTAAAGCGCGGAGAACAGTTTTTGCAGTTTGCTTTGTCTCCTCACCGCGAACCTTACTGTAGTTGCATATCGCTTTACGACTTTCAGATACGTACTCTTACGGGCGCCCGGATTTCCCTCATTGAAAATTACGGAAATAAAGGTCTTCTTCGCTTCGGTAGAGGCTGTCCTTCAAAAGAATCCGGTACTTTCGACGTTGGTTCCCGAAAAAGGCAAGAACTGAAGTACTTTTCACTCCAAAGCTCTTTCAAAGAAAAGTTTTCCGCAGGCAAGGGGGCCGCGTCGCAACTACGTCTCCTGCTTGCGGCCGCGTGACCAAAGTAATCGCTGGCAGTCTACGTACGTAACGGCAGCTGAGCATTCAGAAAAAATCCACGACGCCGGACTAACAATTTGCGTCAAATCGAGTGACAGCGCGAAGATCAACTCGATTGAAAGCTGAAGTGATGTGCACAAGATATATTAACTTCGAGTAAAAATCACACATCTACGAATGGCCACAACGTACACGGCAGTACGAGTACGAGACAAACCGGTCCATGAGAGGATGTTCTCCCGTGACCGACGCCTCGTACGCACTGGCACTATGAAAACGCGATTTGCATCGCGGAGTTACATTTAGGAGTTACATAACATTGATTTTGGTTTTCATATTGAACGCTTCGTAATTACTATCCTCAATTCTACAGGGTTTCGATTGAAAAAACCTTCTCCGTACGTCGACCCAGAGTTGTCCACCTACTTGCGCTTCACTTTATTTGCTGCAGACGATCGAAAATCTCGACCGCAGAAAGACGGGACCGCAGGTCGAAACAGAGACACTGCTGAATCAGGGTTCGCATCGGCGCGGGGATGTGCGGAGGGATGTAGGGACCTTGATGGTCAACCAGAAGCTTCTTCACAATTTGCTGGATAGCGGTGCACTCATCGAAGGGGAGCCGGCCGCCATAGATTTCGTTCAGCAAACACCCGACTGCCCAGATGTCCACCTTCTCTGTCAGCTTGCCTTGACTCTCGTAGCACTCCGGTGCCATGTACCTGGGGAAAAGAATATCATGTGGATGTCCATACTTTCGCATTGATTTCCACCTCGTCACCTATCGCATGCGCAAAGCGAAACGATCTCTGCCAGGACAATTTCAATGACCGAGAGAGACTAAATACTTCAGTGACCGCTATGACATCAACTCCAGTGCGCAAAAAAACTGCGAATGACTGCGGCCAGAAGTACGCGTAGCTCACTTGTAGGTAGTATCAGCACAACTTGTTACCTTGGGCTTCCTCCGTTACCCCCGTCCTTTAATGACAGATGTGTTTTGTCCATCGTCCGCGTGAGGCCGAAGTCGCAAATCTTGCAGTTGAGCAACCGGTCGAGCACCAAGTTCAAGGACTTCAAATCCCGGTGCACGATGGGACTGGGCTGCTGCGTGTGCAGAAACCGTACCCCCTCGACGAACTGCCTCGAGAGGCTAAGTTGCGTGTGCGGTGGGAGTTTAACTTTGTTGATGTGCAGGAGCGCGTGCAACGACCCCCCGGGCATGAACTCGGTGATGATGGACAAATGCGGGTAATCGAGGCAAGCGCCGATGAACTTGACGAGCCGCGGGTGGCGGAGATGCGACAACGCCTCGATCTCTTTCTCCATTTCCAGCATCTGCGTTTCCGACATGTTCCATCCTGTGCAAAAGTATCGTACTCGTAGGAATTATTGCATTTATGCGTTACATATTTTCTCAAGGCAAGCTGATTCAATTTGTGATGCTGGGCTACTTTGTACTGCAGTACATACTAGCACGATGCTTTTGCATTGCATATGTTCCCAAACTCGTCGATGTTGATCTTTTTTATGGCCACCTCCTCCCCCTTGTAGACTCCGTGGTACACGGTTCCGAAGCCGCCGCTGCCAAGGCGGTAGCCGTACTTCAGGTCGTCGTTGTTCACCATCTTCTGAATGGCCAGTTGCACCTGGGGCCGTCTTTTTGGGGGCAACGAGTTTCGACCCTCCTGCGGCGCGCGGTCCGGGGGCCCGGCCGGCTGCTGCTGCTGGGCGTTGTAGTTTTGATGTTCCTGCAAGTTGGTGTCATCGAGGTTGTTTATTTCCTGCTGCTGTTCCGTGGGGGCAGAGTTGTGTTCCTGCCGCGACCGGACGGCGGTAGACCCCCCGTCACCGGGTTGCTGGAAATGCGACGTGGAAGTAGAGGAAGAACTGCTACTACCTCCCCCGCCTCCGCCGAGAGAGGGGACGGACACATTCGGCGGTGGGCTGTTCAGGCCACTGGACAACTGTCGGTTGGGTGCGTTTTTCTGCTGAGACCACACGCGGCGCGCGTGGTGCTTCGGGTGTTCCACCGGCGAGGGGCCGCGCGAGTTGTACTCGGAGGGGATGACGGACTGGTCTGCTGCTCTATCGTGGTCACTACTGTACTCCGCGAGTCGCAAGCTGCCCTCCATTGGCTTGCGGTCGGGCGGCGAGTGCCTTCTTGAGGACTCACTGTCGGCCGCTAGAGAAGCGTCTTCGTGGGCGAGGGCGGCCGCGACGGCCTTTCCAAACGTATCGGCCTCCTCGTGGTCCGCGGGCGGCGATGGAACGAGCGAGGAGGACGGTTGCACTCCGCCGGCGAGAGACGGCGGGGCGATCTTCGAGGAGAGGCCGGGACGGGACGGCGGAGCTGCTGCGCCGGGGCGGGGGCCGTAGGTCTCTTTGCTGTGCGCCGCACTACTGGGTCCCGCAGACGAGGACCCGCGTGAGGGGGTGTGCGACCGTGAAGATGCAGACGAAGGCAAACCGAGTCGTGGCGGCGGATCGAACGGCGCGCTTGGAGGCTGAATGACCGTCGGCATTACACTCGGAATCAAGTCTCCCGCGGGCTGGCCGACCTGCTGCACAATGGGCGCCAAGACGCGGTCCTGCTGCTGCAGCAGGGCGGGCTGCAGGCGCGACTGCGAGTTGCTGCGGCTGTGTGCTTCGGATCCGACGCCCGGGGTCAGACTCCGCCCTCGGGCGGGCGTACCCGTGCGAGACTGACTCCGGCTGCGCGAAAAGAGGCTCACCGTCGGCAGCAGCGGCTCGCCGCCGCTCTGCAGTGCCGTAGTCCCACCCCCGGCCGCGCCGAACAACTTTGCGGTCGGAAACTCGAGCGACGGAGGCTTGAGCGCCGCGAACATCGCCCGTGGGGTCACGGAATTCGGCGTCAGACTGGCATCTCGCACCGCGGCACCGCGCGTTGTCGAAGTGAAAAACAGAGGATTCGTGCCCGGGGCGGGTCCGGCCTGCTGCGGTGCGGCGGTCGGTGGCATCATGACTTGCGGGGCTGGCTCCGGGTACGCGGTGGGCTGAAGCCGAGAGGGTGTACCGCTTCGCGACGTTGGTTTCGATGGAGGCAGCGAAAACTGCCCGGCACCTGTCAAGAAAATGAGATGAACAACATCTCCCTTATTTCCGAGAAACGCTCATCTTTCTGCTACGAGCGGTGATATGAAGGAGCGTGAAGATCTCATTGAAGAAGTAAGTAAAGAGCAGCTATGCTGCCAGCAGGTCCAAGCAAGCGGTACCTTGTTGCTCGAAAGTGGACGTGGCTGGCGTCGGATCGGAGCTTGCGCAATCCTCCAGAAGCGACAGCAGTTGCGAAATGTGGCCGGGTGTGAGGCAAAGCTCGTGTAGGTACGTGCTCAGTTCGCGACCGTCGGTTTTTCTTGCGGTCAAGAAGCCATCGAAAATTTTATGATACCTGCGGAAAATTTTGTTGAGGTAGATGTAGAGCAGCCAATCGCGGTCACGGCAATTATGAAAAACATAAAAAATGCATCCGCGATGAAGCAGAAACTCTCTGCGAATGAAGATCACCTGCACCTCGACATCATAAATGCTTGTCCGCAAAAAATGGGGAAAATAACCTTCTCGCCTCAGCCACGTGTTTTCGGGCCGCTGTGATATCCCCTTGTGTCTTGTAGATCAATGCAACGAGAACGTGGGCGCTGCCGTAGACACTCTTCGTGACGTGCGGAATCGTATGGAGATCGCAGCGAGTACACTTAGAGAGTGCCCGCAGGGCGTTCTCATAATTCTCTGCGCGCAAATAGAGGTAGCCTAGGCGGCAGTAGAGCAGCGGTAGCCAGCCGATGTTCTGCTTGTCTTGGCAAAGCCGCGAGACCAGATCGATTGACACCAGGCAGTTCTCGGCGATGCTCTCCTCGTCATCCTGAAGCACGTAGAGCAGCGCCTTCGTGGACAACAAGCCGACGTGCATCGGGTTCTCGCAGAGTCCAATTTCCACCTCTTGTCGCGCGAGCTCGTACAGACTTTGGTACAAGTACAGCTGCGCTAAAGCAAACCGGATGTCGACGCAGATCTTACTGTCGCGCGACGCGGCCGCCGCCGCGGCGGCCTCCACGTTGCGCATCTCCTGCGGCGTGGGCTCCTTCTCGGAGGAGCCGGTCTGGGACGCGAGGCCGTCCACCAGTCGCGAGGCGGTAGTACCGTCCATGGTGAGACACAACTTCCACTGCCGCGACTGGCGGTCGGTCGCCGTGGCAGATGAAGAACGCGAGGCGGACCACGCGTTTTTCTTGAACAGGTTCGACAACTGCAACGCCTCCACCAGCAGCTCCTTCGCCATGCCGTACTCGTGCAGGCGGGACTTGATGACGCCGAGAAAAAACACGAAGTGCACCTGCTCGGCCTTCTCGCGCATCTCCAAGCCGCGCTTGATCATCCACTGCGACTCCTGCAGGTCTTCGAGAATCAGGTGCGCCTTCGAGGCCACGTAGCACGCACCCAGTCGGTATTCCGATTCCTTCAGCACGGCAAGCGCATCGGACGCGGCCGCCTTGGTTTGGCACGTCAATATCACGCGTCTGGCAAACAGGATTGCCTCCTCCATTTCGCGCTTCTTGAACAGGACGGTGGCCACATAGTAGAGGCCAGCCAGGTTCTGCTCCGCGAATGCGGACCCGCGGCCCTCCGTCGCGTCCACCAACTGCCGGTAGTAAGCCAGGGCGTTGTCGTAGTCGCCGATCTTGCGCGAGCAGTACGCCATGCCCTCGATCTTTTCGACCTCCTCCGCCCGTCGACGCTCCGCTGCGGTACTATCGCTTGCTTTCGCGCCGACCGGCGCACCACTTCCCGCCGGCGGCGCACCCAGCGGGCTGCGTGGCTTCGGGAACGCGCTGCCGAGCTGCAGCAAGCTTCTTCCACCCGCCCCGAGCAACGCGGACGGCGGTTTCGTGAGGCGGCCCATGGGGATTGGATTCGGCTCCAGTGGCTGGCTTGTGAGTTTACTCTGATCTTCACCCCCGCCGCCCGTGGTGTTCGTGTGGTCCGCGTGCTGTTGTTCCGCGGCGACTTGCCTGTTACTGTAATAGGTTTTCCGGAACTGCTCGCCGTTCAGAACTGCGTCCTTACAACCCCAGCCGCTGGACAACTCTTGCTCGGTTCCCCGTGGACTGGTCGGCGTGCCGCCACTAAGTTCCGTCAACGCATACTGTGCGAGGGCGTCCTCAAACCGGCTTTCTTCGCGCAACCACCGCGCTACAATGAGGCGCTTCTGCGGAAACCGGCGGAGCAGCTCGTGGTCGTGGAGCACCGAGAGTGCGGACCGGCGGAAGTGCTGCGCCACCGTACGCCGCTGCTCCCTCTCGTGGGACGACGAGGTCGAGGCGGCGCTTTTGTCGGTCACCATCTCGCGGATGACGTCGCTGACCAGCCCTTCCAAGGCGACCACGCTGCTTTCCTCGGTCGGCGTGGCCACCGCGTCGCTGCGCTTCCGCACGCTGCGCTTCAGGCACTCGAACTTCAAGAGATTCTTCACCTGGTTTTGCCCTTTCACTGCCACCCAGTCCAGGTTCATGGCCCCGGGCCCGCCCGTAGATTTTCTAGTGTTCACCTCACCTCCTGCGCTTGCTTTGGTCTCGCGCCCGCGCGCCACGGACAACGCCTCGTGCTCTTCGTCAGCTGGCGATATCGATAACTTCATCGAAGCCCCCGAGGCCGCACCCGGGCCTTGTTGTTCCGTGCCACTTTCAACATCTGCCTTCTCGGCACTATCGCTCTTCTGGACCGCGTTTTCTTCTTCCTCGGTCCAGTTGATGGGTGCTTGCAGGACCAAATCTTCCAGCAAATGCGGTCCGAACGTGTCGTCGAGCATCTCGACAAGCTGGTCCAGTTTCGACGCGTGGATGGCCGCGTCGAGGATGGAGTGGTGCAAATACCGCACGTACAACTTCTCGGGACAGCTCTTCGCGGCAATTTTGAAGTGGTGCAGGGCCTGGTTGTAGTTTCCCAAATTTGCGTAGTAGCACCCGAGCAGCAGCTTCGGCTTGTACAGCGCCTGCGGGCAGTCGCCAGGGATGTTGGCGGCGGCGCTGCCAGGAGGTTGACTCGTCTCCCCGGCGGTGACGGTCGCGGGCGTCGCCGCTGCGGACGAGAGCTGCGAACTGTTGTTGTTCGCGTTCGAGGCCGCGTCCACGGCCGCTTGCGCGGCGGCTCCGCCACGTTGCGTTGCGCGATGAATCCACTGCAGGGTTTTTTCGTGCTGCAGAAACGCCCCAAGCTCCGCGAGCAGCACCTGGTCGCGCGCGTCGAGCGGCGTACGCGATTCGTCGTCGAGAAGCAGGTATTTCAAAGACAGCCGAGCGAAGGAAAACACGTTTTCGCGTTGCAACGGATCTTCGATCAGGTTCACGCTGCTCGACGATGCACCACCACTGCCGGTTCCGGCACGATCCGTGGAAGTTCCGGATTGGAGAAACAAGCTGATGGCGGGCGTCAGCTTCCACTGCGCGGCTTCCACGGATCGCCGGTAGATCACGTGGGCGGCGCAACTGAAAAATTTGCGGGACAAGAACCCCTCCGGGTCGTGGTTGAAGTCGTCACTGTACTCCACGCAAGACGCCGCGTCGCCAGCCGCCAGCGTCGTGTTGAAGCTGTTTTTGCGGCTGGAAGATGTCGTGCGGGCTTTCACGCGGTGCCTTAGGTATCGGTCCCGGTCAAACCCGAGCACGCCGCGCATTTTCCGCTCCGCCCGTTTCAAATGGTCTATCGCCGCCAGGAAGTGCTGCGTCGCCGAAAAGACCGCGCTATCCACTTCCGTATCGTGGTCCTCTTCCGACGCAGCAGGTCTACGGTCCGCAGATGAAAATCCGTGCCCGAAAAAGCCGCCCTCCGGCGGGTCTTCGCGATACAGCAGCAGTGCAGCGGGGTTCACGCCGGTTGTAAGTAGGGCTGCGCGGCTCGCCGTGGTCAGCTCCAGACTATTCTCCACGACCGCGTCGTACATGCGCACACGTATCTCGCACATGTGGAGGCGCGCGTCGATTTGCAGCCGGTTCAGGGTGGCGTCGGACACCGCACCGGGGGCGTCCTCGCTGCTCGCCAGCTCCAACATGCGCTCGTACAGTCGGAGCGCGGAGTCGTAGTCCTGCCCTTCCCGCACGAGTCCGGCCGCCGTGTCCTTCACGAAGAACACGTCGTCGGACGCGAGCGCCTGCGCAAACAGGGACGGCGGCTCGCCGCGGTGCGAACCCAGGTCCTGCTCGTGAAGGGCCACCGTGTTTACCAGCTCCTCGCTTTCGGAATACGGAGTTGTAAGTCGCGCGCCCGGTTGGAGGTCCTCCTGTGTGAATCGAAGTACAAACGATGAAGCTCATTCTAGTTCGTTGAATAACTCTGTTCTCTTTTTCACAGCAAATGAGGAAAGAAAAAGTTCCGGAGATCACAACATTTATACTTCTGCAATAGTGGAGGGAAATCGAAGGGTTTCCAATTTGGCATTCGCCGTTTCCCGCTTTAGCGTCGCGCGCCGCGAGTCCTCTTCAAAGAGATTTTCGTTGCAGGGGCGGTGGGATCGTCTACGCAGGGCGGCGTTCTTTCGCTTTGTCGCTTTTGTCGGAGATTCGGTCGCGGCAGGCTCCGCCACCTTGGCGGGTGACGATCCGTTCATGATTTCTCGCGACAAGAGCGGCGAAGAGGCGTCCTCCTGCGCGACGACAGTCGTTTGCCGTGAGGAGCCGAGGTCCCCGGGATTCAGTTCTTTGGTCTGCACACTGAGACTGTGGTGTGTGCTGTCCAAGCAGGATGAGAGCCCGTTGTCCGAAAAGGTGTGGTCCAACAAATTGTTGTGCGTGCGCTTGTCGAGCTCCAGCTGCATTTTGAAGCACTGCAGCTTCGTGGAGCCCGGGTATGCCTGCAAACCCTTTTGCACCCACGTCGTCGCCTCGTCAAACTTTTTCCGCTCCTTGTAGCTTTCGGATATGGCCTGCATCACGCGCTCCATCTGGCGCGGCGCGATGCCCTCGAGCTCCTGGTACCAGGGCAGCTTCTGCTTCCGCTTTCCTGGAGCGGCCTGTTTGTTTTTCAACACTTCGGTCGCGCTGGTTTTCTGCAGTTTGTGCACCTCCGCGAGTACGAACAGGGCGGTCTTGTTGAACCCGTCCACTTTGCGCAGCTCCGTCGCGTAGCTTCGCGCCGCAAAGTAGTTTCCCTGGAAGAATTTGCACGCGCAGCACAGCTCCAGCACTTCCTTGTTGGTGCGGTCCATCTTGCGCGCCGCGGCCAAGATCTCCATGGCTTCCACGTACCGCTGCTTGTCGGCTCCCACAGGCGCGGCCGGAATCAGAGCGCCGGAAGATGAAGGTGGCGCATTGGTTCCTGTAATTGCCGAGGTTCCGGCACCACCACCGCGGCTGCTGTGCCGCAGCGGGTCCTGGTGACTCGACAGTTTCGTGCTTGACGGCGGGGCAGAGAGCAGAACGCCGGTGGGTGCGTCCACTACGCCCGTGGGCTCCAGTGTGCGCTGGTAGGAGGGGCGCGCCAGCTGCGACATGAGTAACCCTAGCCCACCCGTGGCGCGCGCCAGCATCGGCGAGGAGATCACGTTGGAACCGCAGTTCACCAGCAGCCGGGCCAGCGCGATCATGGCGGGGAGGTGCGGTCGGTCCGCGACCTCGAGCGTCTTCCGGTACCACCCGATGGCGTGGCGGAGCCCGCGCTCAATCGAGGGATCCGACGCGGCGTTCTCCGCGCCCGGCACGTCCAGCACGATGTACTTTTGCACCGCCTTCGTGTAGCTTTCCGCGATGTGGAAGGCGAGCTCCGCGTCCGGTTCGAGCGCGAAGGCGCGCTCGCCGTACTGCGCCACGCTCTTGATCTTCGTGGACGCGAAGCACAGTTCGCGGAGCACCAGCAGGTCGTTGGGATCCTGCTCGAGCAGTTTCTGCAACTGCTGCATCGCGGCAAACTCGTGGATGCTCAGGATGCCGCGCTCCTCCTTCTCCTCCTCCAGCAAAGACGAGTCCTCCAGTTCGCTGTCGCGCTCCTCCTGGATCGCGGAGAACCGGTCCCGCTTCAGCAACGAGCTCCGGTATTCCACGTCGCCGAGCTTCGCGCCGCTCCGCCGCCCCGAGGAACGGCGTCCGCCCTTGCGCCCACTGCGGCGCGCGGAGGCGGAGCTGCTGCTGCTGGCGCGCCCCCCGGGAAGGTCGTCGTCCGAGCCGCTGAGGTTCTCTCCGGCGGCCACCAGCTTTCCCACAATGCTCAAACTGTAGCCGGGCCTCTTGGTCAGCTTGCGCTCCTCGTCTTTCTGTTGCTCCACCCGGTCCCGCAACACGCCAACCAGGCGCAGTCGCGTCTCCCGCTCGGGAAACCCAGGCGTCCTCTCTTCGGAGGAAGCACCCTCCCACTGCTTCAACAAAAACTCATACCTGAAATAGCATTTCACAATAACAATCACACGCAGTAGTTCTTTTGGCTTTTAGGGAGTCTTTTGGTCTTCGCGACGAACTGTGGACAGCAACTTCGGTAGTTTTCTTTTGCGGCGAAGATGTGCATGGTTTCCAGAAGAAATGTTGCACGAAATGAAATTGTAAATTTTTACGTTCTCTGCGCGTTCTCTAGATCCTTCTTCTGCTCGTAGCAGAACCCTAGTTGCCGCTGCGCCTCGAAATGGTTAGGGCGGTGCTGCAGAAAGAAGTTCAGAGTCTCAACTGCGTCGCCGAAGTCGCCGTGGTCGCGGAAAGCCTCGCTCATGTGAAACAGAATTTCGTACTCCGTACTCCTTTCCTGGTACAAGTTCTGATACAGAGCGATGGCGTCGCTTGCTCGCCCGAGCTTGCTCTCGCACCAAGCGAGAATGAGCCGCGTGCCAAAGTCCCCTGTTTGGTGTTCTTCTCCGGAAAGGGCACGCTGGCACCTGAGTTATTTGAAATTGTTTTAAGTATTCAACAACCGCGATTAATTCATCGTTGGGTCGCATCCGCCAGCAGCCGGCTGAAACAAAGAAACAGCAGCTCGTCTACTTGCGTGCCAAGTTTGCGGCAGGAATGTCCGCGCAACAGAGTAGAAACATGGAATACATGGCCTTCGCGTCTGCGAATTCATTTCGTTTTGCGAGGCAGAGCGCCAGGTTTCCGGCAAGGGTCGATGACTCCGGTACCAACTGCAAAGCGGCACGGAGGCGCTTGATCTGTGGGTGAAACATTTCATGCGATTGCGATCTAAGATTCATCGGATTGCGGGAAGCTTGTTCATCACGTGGTGGGTGTTCAACGACATTCTCCGAACGCCGAGGGAGTTGTGTGTGGCAAGTCGCGGTACGAATAAAGTTGCGCTATTTTCAGACTTTGAAAAAATCAACTACTCTAGTACCGCCTCCAAATGCTTGCCCGCATCGATAAGCTTGATTGCCTCGGCGTTCGAAGCTTGAGCCTGTTGCGGCAAGTCCGTATCCGTCTTCGGCACGCAGGCCTCTGGAATTGGCTGCAGTGAAAACTCCGGGCCTGAAGGAAATGTGAAATCATCTGTGTACAGAGGCTCATCGTAGTCAACCACCAGCTTAAAGACACGGTATCTATAATTCTTGTTTCTTTGCGACGGTCCAAAAAAGGAACATACCGGTGCCCCCCGCGAAAAGCGACTCACTTTGACCCATTCTTGTACAGGTTTCGGCAAGCAATCCGCTGTAACGCGCGCCGAGGCCGCCCAACCGGGCTACTCTAGCTGGCGGGGTATCAACATCTTTCGGCTGGGACCGCGCCGGTCAACATCATTTGCAGTCCGAAATGCGATCTATTTTTGGATCAATATCTTGTGGCAGTTGGTAAGTGAGTGAATGCAGCTTTTTGGTTGCGAAGTCGAGGACAGAGCTGCTCTCTCATAAGGCATTCCGTTTTGATGCTTCTCAACGTCCAATCCCTTGCATTTTCTTGCCATCTCTTCAACGCAAAATTCACAGACTCAAAGGTGCCGTCGTGGGGATGCATTCGCAGAACACGTGCGCTATTTTCGTGTCGCACCGGCAAACGACTTGACAGTTGCGCTTTCGGTTTCGCAAGGTAAAGAATCTCAGTCACGATTATAAAAGGCAGCTCAACTACGACCTCAGCAAAGTTGCCTTCACAGCTCTAGGTCAATGCCTGTATATATATATTACTTCCGGATCTTCGGCTTCCATTTCCGCTACGTCGCAGTGCTTGCCGGCCTTCGCGCCTGGTATTGTTCAACAGAAAAGTTAGCCAGCGTCCCGACTACTTCCGAAACCGACAATATTCCGTCACCGTCTCGATCGTGAAAAAGCAACAGGTCCTCGAAGTACGGCTGCGCACCCGCGCGTTGCGTGGCCTCGCGAAAGTACGTCTCGACCTCTTCACGTTCGAGTTCGCCATTCCCGTTGGTGTCGAGCTGCTCCGCAACCAGTTTCCATGCCTGCTCGAATGCCTCTTCTCCCGATGGCAGCAGAGGAAACTGCACCCCGAGGACAGCCAGGTCGCGGCGAAGCTGCTTGCACGCCACACCCTTCGTTCCAGCGGTTCCGAGCTCGCGTAGCAGTCCCGACGGCAGCGGGGCCAGGAGAGGCAGTCGTCGAAGGCGAATAGTGCTTGCATCGTCCTCGGCTTCGTTGCCCGCAGTACTGGACTCGGAAGTCCACTCGCGGCCTGCTAGGCTGGGAGGATAAACAAGCAGGTCGCCGGGGCGCAGGTGAGTTTTCCAATGCCACGTCGCCCCATCAACATGCTGCAGTCGCACGCCAATCGGGCCGCCGGATGCAACCGCGGCCGTCGCGAAGCAATGTTCGGCTGAGCGCCTCTCCAGCCGAGTCCGCGGAAGCGCGGTCTCGGTCGCGTCAGCCGGGAGCGCGGGAACGCCGAGTTTCGCGAGCTGCTTCTCGCACTGTGTGCCAGGTGTGGCAGCAAAGCAGCTCTCATCCGGGGCAAACCCGTGCAGTACGAACGGCATGCCGTTCGCAAGGAGCTCTGCGAGCTTTTCCGGCGTGACGCGATGAAACGCCGGGACCGCGTGCTCTTCATACTGGGCTACCGGTTCCGTCCAGGCGAAGTGATTCTGCAGGCGGCGCTCCGTGTCGCTTTCCGCGAAACATAACACGACGAGTTCCACAAAACACACCCGGCGCAAAGGGGATCGCATGTTTTTGCACGTGGTTGCGAAGAAGTACGATCACTGTCGCACGCAGAAGCGCAGTTGAGAAAATGTCCCCGCTGCGCAGAAGCAGGCAAAAGGCGGGACACGAAATTTGGAAGGTAGTGCGCAAACGAACGCTGAACAACAGACCGCTAACGCCTTCCACTGCGCCACAATGCCGGATGCCCCCGGAGACCCCCGGGCTGCCGGCCGGCAAACAAATCAGGCTGGCGCCCCACCGCCGAAAGCCGGAGGGGCGACGGCAAACCGGCAGCCGCGTGCTACAACACGCAGGGTGGCCCGGTCCGAAGAAGAAATCCGGCGGAATCTGGCAGGAAAGTCACGCAGGTGCAACACATTTCCAAGGCGCAACAACAAGCAAAGGGCCCCCCCGGCTTGACGTGCCGCTGAGGGACGACAAAGACTGATTGCACACAAAGCCCGGGCCCGCTTTCCTGGTCTTTGCGAGGCTTCTTAGGCCCGACGCAAGTTGCTCAAAGGTGAGGCCTTTTATCGCGGAGCGACTAGCCGGCAAGTTCATGCACTTCCGAACGGCTTCCGCACATTCCAGGGGGCGGGAGGACTGGTAAGCGGCGGATGCGTGCGGCACCGATCCGCGGGCACAGTTATACCACTAAGGAGCTCGGCGCGGAGCATATGCGCACGACAACAGTGATCAGCTTCAAGGACTTCGCACCAAGAGGCTGCCACCCCGGCGGGCGTCCGACGGTGCGGGCAGAGGCGAGGCGCACCGGGTTCCAAAAGATCACTCTTTTTGCCCTTCCTGTAATTAGGCACCTGTGAAAATAGGGCGCAATTTACAGCCTGTGGGCCAATACGGACAGGCATCTGGCAATATTGTAGGCATCGTCTTTGCCTGGCCGTGGGATTTTGTACTAACTGACAACCACCCTGCCAGATTTTCCTTAAAAAAGGCAGCCAATCTGTGAGAGTGATCCCCAAAGGATTTCAAGCATGCACAATCTTGCTTCGGGGGAGCTGTTATGCCACTAGTCAGCAAATGACGGGGCCACCAAGTGACAAGATTTTATTTTGTTTCGTCAGGCCAGCAGCTACCGAGATTTTGCGTCGTCAGGCCGCCAGCTGACAAAATTTTGCGCAACCCGGCCACCAGGTGGCGAGCTTTTGAGCGCTTGGGCCACCAACTGGCAAGATTTTGCGCGGTTGGGTTGCCACCTAGTGAGATTCTGCGCGGCTGAGCGACCATCCGACAAGATTTTGCAGGGCTGAGCCATTAACTGGTTGGATTTTCAGCAATTGAGTCGCCAACAAGCAAGACTATGTGCCGTCAGATCACCAGCTGGCAAGATTTTGCGCGGTTACGCCACCAACTGTCCAGATTTTGCGCCGCTGGGCCACCAGCTTGGAAGATTTTGCGCGGGTGGGCAAGTGACTGACAATATTTTGCGCGGTTTAGGAATCAGATGGCAAGACTTTGCGCCGTCGCGCCACTAACTGGCAAGATTTTCTGCCAGCTGGGAGGAGGACAGTGCGCGATCATGCGACCAGCTGGGAAGATTTTCTGCGGCTGAGCCACCAGCTACCAAAATTTTCTGCGGTTGGGCCACCAGCTACCAAGATTCTCTGCGGTTGGGCGGCGAGCTACCAAGATTCTCCGCGGTTAGGCCACCAGCTACCAAGTTTCTGCGCAGTCGGGCCACAAGCTAGCAAGATTCTGCGTGGCCGGGCTACCAGCTGGCAAGATTACGGCCCCCGGCCCCCCTGCCCTCCGGCCCCCCGCCCTCCGGCCCCCCGCCCTCCGGCCCCCCGCCCTCCGGCCCCCCGCCCTCCGGCCCCCCGCCCTCCGGCCCCCCGCCCTCCGGCCCCCCGCCCTCCGGCCCCCGCCCTCCAGCCCCCGCCGGCGGGGCGGCTTTTGAGTTTAGCGCCTGCAAGCTGCATGTCCCGGCCGCCCGGGGGCCCGCGGATGCCACGCAGTGTGTCAGCCACCGGCTGCCCGCGCTTGCAGAAAGCACAAGCATGCGCGCGGTCGATTCCAGAAGGTTTTGCGGTGTCTCGGTCTGCTACACCAAATGCACTTGTTTTTTTCGGTACCAAAGACAGCCGCTTCTCGGTTTGGAATTGAATGGAGAAAGAGCATTCCCGTATTGGAAAAAAGATATTCTTATGCAAAAATGCACGACACAGGTCCCCGAGCGCGAGTAATTTGCGTCGGCCCCCGCGATCCCTCCCCGAGCCCGCGATATTTCATGAATGAAAGCCATCGCCCCCTCTCTTGCTGATTTTACCACACGAACCAAGCAGACAGGGCTGGGCAGTTCGCTTCTTCGTCATCGCGCGCACTCAGCGCAGATCTCCACCGGAAAGTTTCGCGGCGCCCTTCACTTTAGCCGCATCGGGTTTTGTCTTTTTCGGCAGCAGGCTCACCTCGCAGCTTCGCCTAGGGCCGGAGTCTACGCATCTCGAACGATGGCCACGCAGCTAGCCTCCGCGGAGCTGCCGGCGTTCCTGGCGCCCCTTGAAGGCCAGGCGGAGGCATACGGCCGAGCGTGGACGTCGCCGGCGGACGAAGAAGCGAAGCTAGCCGATTTTCTCGCAAATTACGATCCGGCGTTCCGGCTGTACCTCATGAAGCCAAACGCGACGGACTTGCTGGTCGAAGGACGCGACAACTTCGGGACTCGCCAAGCCGAACTGTTCCACTCGTCCCCCGGTCTTGGCCTAACCGTGCATCGGCGCTTCTTCTTTTCTGAAGTTACCGCGGACGGCACGACGGGGAGCGCGCAGCGACAAACGGCATTCTTCCTCGACATGGAAACCTATTACGGACGCCAAGCGAGCGAGAATTTGCCGTCCACGGGAAAGCTTCTGGTCATACATGAGGTCGTTCGATCGAGTGCCGAGAAAACGAACGCGGAAAACACCTCCGCGCCGAGAATCTCCCGGGCGTGGGTATACAAGGACGAAAATCCAGAGTTTGTGTACCAAGACCGTTTTGAGCCGGGAAAATCTGATTACGCAGACTATTTTCCTAGAGCTACTTTAGATTTGGTGCAGAAGGAGCTTCAAATCACCGACGGCACGGCGCTGCAGCTGATTGATGTGTCCCCGACGGTGAAGCAGGACCTGTGAGACGCTGGGTCAACAGGTTGTTCACAAGGATGGATGCTTCATTATCCAAAGAGCAAATGGTACACACGCTGTTCGAATCAAACGCAATAAGGAACTTGTACTTGCAGTGTGCAGTAAGTTGAAGTGCAAACCAGAACAGATACAAGCGACCGTACTCAACAATCAATGCATCGGCCAGGTTGCAGTGTTCGCCCTCATAAGTCACACGCATGCATTCTCGTCCGTCCTCACATTCATGTTGGACCTTTTTCGCTAATACATCGTACGAATCGTAGTTCAGCACATCGTCAAATGTTTCGCCCGGCCTCCCTAACTTCGTATCGTTTTTTTTTGTTCTTGTTTTTTCGCTTCAAAAAGAGCGAAAATTGGAGTGAATCCGAGAACCTAAATGAAATGTTTCGCGCCAAAACTAGTTGCGATCCTTTCCTTTTTCTTCCAAAACTAGGCCTGCGAACCAAAATGAGGTTCTAGTTCCAAATCAAAAATGCAATCGCTCAGAAAAAATTTCCATTTCGATACACAGCAGGAGGTGAAAAAATACGTGGCTCCTCACAACCATCGGTCTGAAAACCCGTGAGAAACTTCGAAGCCGATTCCTTTTTTTTCCAGAAAATATATCACGATACTTTTACTTTCTAGTTCGTGTGCTTTATAGCTATTGGTAAGCGACGCATTCCACATCATCAAGTACAACTGCTTTCCACACCATCAAGTACAACTGCCTTACGTGTTTTCACCTCTTGTTTCTTGTTTCAATTATCACAAGCACTATTTCCATCACCGTATTCTCGAAACAAAATGTCGTTGGAGCTGCCGGGCAAAGATAAGTTTTTCATTTTGCTGCGTGGAATTTCGGGCGTCGGGAAGACGAAACTGGGCCGAGACATCTGTGCCGCCTTGTCGTCCACGGTGAAATGCGTCCACGTCAGCAATGACTTTTACTTTGAGGAAACCGGCATGCCGTGGAGCTTCGGCGCCGTTCAATTCCAGGCGATTCCGGACGTGCGCCGCAAAGTGCAACAAGCAGTGAAAGACCGCGCGCGCGTCATTATTTGCGACAATTGGAACCTGAAGACGCCGGGGGGTGATGGCTGGAGCGGCGACGCGCTTGGCGAACTGTGGGACTTAACAGTCCGGGACGGAGGCTATCAGCCCATCGTGGTGGAGTTTAATCTTTCGAGTTTGAAGGAGGCTGAAGCTGCGGTGGCGCGCAACCACCGGCCAGGAATGGAAACGCCACAAAAAATTGCCCGCAAGAATTGGATGGTCATGGGGCACCTTCCGGATGACTGGGACGAGGCAGTGCCGGACGACTGTTACATCGAAGTCGAAAAAATGAACCGCGACGAAAAACTCGCCAGGCAGATTTTGGACCTCATGGGGGCGGTCGCCCCTAAGAAGAAGACCCCCCGGACTAAGCAGGCGAGCCGTTCAGCCGAAGCTAAAACGCCGAAGAAGAGCACAAAATCGCGCAGCAAGAGCAGTGCCGCGACCCCCAAAACAACAAAAAAGGCGAAGGCGACAAGAAAGAATAAAAAGTAGCTGCCCATTGGAACGCCGAGGCTGTACACAGGCGGCAGTGTATCGCACCCATTCAAAAGAACGCTTCCCATTATTTCAGCGATCGCACTTTTTCGATGACCCGCATTCTTTGTATTGCGTCACTTCTCAGGAGGCAAGCGGTCCTCATGTTCGAACGCGAGATGTAGCACCTACTTTTTTTTGGCAATGTTTCTGATCCTCAGTGAAAACGCCGGCTGTCCAAGCACAATGAATGCTGTGACATTGCGCTCATCGACAAACTCGAGCTGTTCGCCACATGAAATCTAGACCTTCTGTCGGCTCCCTCGTGAAATGCACTGATCAAGCTTTCTGATTCTGGAGCAGAATGATGAGACAGATTTGTTGTTACACACTCGACGATGCGCGTTGCTGACCCGGTTTTTCCGGGGCGGCGACCGCAGCTGACGTGAACGCAATTTAGCGGATTTCTCTGATTCCACAAGCTTCGAGATATCGCTGGTCACTACAAGACGAGATCTGTCGTCAAGGCACATCATCCGAAAATCATTCACTAGATCTGCGCACAAGAGAACACGTTTGTAAAGTGCGACTGAGCACATCCATTGTGCTGAGTGAGCGGCTTTTCTTCGGACTCTTCCTCACACTCTTCTTGCCTTTTTTTTCTTCGCTGATGTTGGTTTTTTCTTCTCGACGAATTGCCACAGCAACGACGGTGGGCAATTGCAATTACCTGCTCGTCGATAGATAGGTGGTGCTAGCGATCATGATATGCTCGTAACACATGGACGCTCTCGAGGTAGGGGGGCCAACAGAGTCTCGGCGACTTAGCGCAGCGCAGATTGACCGAGTTAGTCGCAGGAACAGTGTTGATGTCAGTCAAGTACTGTGCCGCAGCAGTGAGGTTCGGGAACGACTGAGCCAGGTATAGAGCAAGGGTGCTAAGTTGATATCTCAACCCCGCCTCACTGTTCTCTACTATGACAAAGCCCTTTAATGATTAGCCACACACGCGCCTAGATGTATGCGGAGTTTTTTTACAGCCCTCCGCAACACCTGTAAACAAGATCAGGTAATCGCAGCCGATCCAGCTCCAGAGCCGTCGCCATCCCTCCTTTCGTTGATCAAGCCTGCCGCTGCAATAGGGCGCCGCGGAAGTCGTGTCTCGTTTAACACAATCGTCCAAGTATCTTTTAAACCCGCCGTTGGAGCACAGGAAGGCGAAAAAAGCAGCGGTCACACGCCAGATCAGATGGCGGACGCGGAGGCCAGATTGGAAACCACACTGGAAGACGAGGAGAAATTGCAGATTGAGTCTAGGCAAGAAAAATCATTCCGTGGTGAAGTTGTGTGCGTAACCTTCTAGTAGAGACTTTTCATTTTGTAGTACGATTGCGCAGCAATTTATTTTAGAAGTGCGTTTTTGAGTGCTGCAGCCAAAAACGCGCTTCACTCAGAGATGCAGCGCAGGGACTGAAAATTATCGCTGCTCCACATGATCTTCACGTTTGTGTTGCATAAAGGCCGATGATGAGTTAGTTGACGCGACGTACGCCGATCGACCATCCGAGAATGAGGCGACCCCTCAGCCAACCGCAAACGGGAAGAGTGGGGGCATCGTGGCGAATGCTGGCACCGCAAAGGTGTGTCTACCAATCACGGTGGAGACGCGCTCTTCCTCCCGCAGCAGTGCGTCCTCTTTCGGAGAAATTTCTTCGGACGGCAGCGCACAGCACCGAAAGAATACGTCTATCAACGCGAAGAACAAAAAACCGATCGCACCTGCTACCGTGGCTGCGAACGAGACAGCACCTGCCGGACCGCTGCCCACGTCAAGGGAGCAGGCAGCGGGCTCCGGCGGGGGGAACGCAGAGCCTGAGGTCGTGGCTGCGGGAATCACGGTCTCCAACATTCGGCCTGTCGATGATGGTGGATCCTCGTTCTCGTCGTCTAGCACGGAGTCGCGGATCTCGTCGAAGGGCAGCATGCCGCCATCTCCCCCGCGGGAGGAGGAGAACGCGCCGGAGCGGAATGTACTTTATCGCAGTGCGAGCGCAGGAGACATCAGGGTATTACTTACAACTCTCGCTGGTGTCACTAAGTACCTCACGCATGAAGTGCGGTCCGAGCTGTCATGGGAGGGTCGTGGAAGAATATTAAGACCTGCACAGCAGCTGCCATAAATAGAAATTTGTGAGAAAATATTTATGCCGAAAAATATATGACTTTTTAAAAAACAGTTTCCCGCGGAGCGCGCCACGCGAGCTTCGCAAGGGGCGAGGCAAAGTTTCGACGAAGCGTGGGCGCGTGCAACGTCCCGGCCGAGTATTTCCATGCGGAGCGCCGCGGACGCCGGGAGCTCGACTAGCATGGTTGCCCGTCGCAAGTCGCGACGTGCGTCGCTTTCCAAGGGACGAAAAAGTATCATCAATCTCGGTTCCGTGGTCGAGTTTTCGCGGTTCTCGTTTGACCAGTTGGAGATTCGGGATACGGACGACGCCTCGGTGTTCGGACAGAACAACTCGACGAACACCCTGGTCGGCAAGGTGCCAGCGCACCTCAACTTTTACTTCCGGGCATCCGATTTGCTGGTGGAGCGGCTGCACCGTTTTTCCACCGTCTTGTTCGTCTGGAACTGCTTTTTTACGACGTTTTTTCTCATGTACTGCCCGCTACTGTACGACTCCTACGAAGCAGCAGCGCAAAACAGGCAACTGCAAGAGGATTATGTGTTGCCAAAACCAACGGCAGCATCGTGGCACGAGAAGGACGGGATACCGACGAGCTTGGCGGATCTTCAAGACCGGCGAGAAGTAGGAGCACGATCCCCGCCGGAACGTGTACAACTCCTTCCAGAGGATCCAAACTTTCATGGACCAGATATTGAAGAAAGCAAAGCGGCTGCAGCTGCCTTCGCCACCAGAACGGAAGGGAGCAGGCATACCGTCGACCACTCGGTATCATCACGTACCGTACTCACCTCTCCGCTGGCCGCAGAAGAGCATTTCCGCGAGCACAGTTCTTCCTCCAGAGCTGAACTTGATGTTACGGCGCCAGCACGCGGCCTTGAGGTGACCAACCACGACGCAGCCCGGCGAGAGTCACCTCCGTTGCTCCGCTGGCTTCTAAACGGTGGACCGCACCCGGTAAGTGAGGACAAAGCTGCGGAGGTTCGGATGATGGAGGCGTTGCTCTTCGTGGACTTGTTTGTGTTCGAACTTCTGTTCGTTTTCATCCACTTGATCTTGCCGTTTCGCACCTCCGTCATCCTGTACCAGCAGGGGAAGGAATACGTGGAGCTCGCGGACATCCACCGCCTGGTGTGGGGGCAGCGCGAGTTGCGCATGAATGCTGCCTCCGTCCTGGGTGCCTTCATGTGGATAGGCTTACTCGGTCCAGCAGCGAGCTGGACCCGGTTCTTGGGATTGTTTCGCTTTCTCCGGTACGAAAGCGTGCAACGGTACCGCCACGACAAGCAGTGTACGCCCGACGGACGCGTTTTGTCCCCTTGGAAAAACGGGCTGCTCAGCGCTCTCACGCTCGCGCTCGTGAACATTTTCGCCGTGCATATTTTTGCCGTGATCTGGTTCCTGGCACTGCACGAGCAGGACGGGCGTTTTGCGTACGAATTAGACACCGAGGAAACGCACGTGCTAAAGTATTACCTGCTGGCGCTCCGCGACGCCGTCCTGCTCTTCTCCGCGTCGCCACCCGCGGTCATGACGGCACGACAGGACACACACTTGGTGCTCACCCAGGTGATGCTCAAGCCGGTCGGAGCCCTGTGTCAGGCAGTCATCTTCGCTGAAATTGTCCTGATCAAACAGCGGATGAACATTCTGAAAAGCAAAATTTTGGAACAGGTATTAAGAAGAGGAGTAGTTTTGAAAAGGGAACATGTTCTTGGACAGCACAAAAACTTAAAGTACATAGTATCTTTCTGTCCTTTACGATTTCGTATAAGTAACATCTATCGTGTCGTAGCAACCCGGAGTCAAGGAAAGAACTTGAATATACACACTACACAGCAAACGACAATTAACGCGGCTATGAGCGTGTTGCGGCTTCCGGAGAACCTGCGGCGGCGCATCACGATGTATAACCTGCTCAGGTGTTACAATCTCAAACGTTGCAATAGAGTCTGAGATTTGTCTTGCATGACCAACATGACAGACTCGGACAGCGTTCCACTTTTTGCAATACAAATTTCGCCAGATTGTAGTGCGGATTGGGACTCCAGAACTTGTCATGCGCAATCCTGTGGGAGTAGGGTAGATCATGCACTTCTTGCAACACAAATTCCAGATTCTATCGTAACCTTTGAGATTGTAACACCTGAGCGGGTTATACGATGTACCACCAGTTCTTAGAAATCCAGCACGACGAGCAGGCCTGCAAGTTGCTGTACCACACCTCCAGTCGTGCCTTGGTGCTCGAAGTGAAAATTTGCCTCTTCGCGCAGCTCATCGAAAAGGCGCCATTGTTCTACGACCTGAAGCCGCACGGGGTGGGCGAGATTATCGACAGTTTTCAGGAGGAAGTCTTTTCCCCCGGCGATTTTATCATTCGCGAAGGCCAGAAGGGACGGGAGATGTATTTCATTCTGAAGGGATTATGCGACGTTTTGATCAACACAGGTGCGGCCGCCGCACCAGCGGCCAGCACGCCGTCCAAGGGGGTGAGTGATGATCCGCAACATCTTCAAGAGGACAAGGGCAAAGAAACGGAACAAAAGTCATCGTCGAAGGCAACTAGTACCGACACCAGCGGGAAGAGCCCGAACAAGCATAACCTCGCGAGTGTGGTTCCGGTGTCCGGACCCCAGCGACTGGTCGATAGTACGACGGCCACACTGCTGAAGCACTCGTTCAAGGGGGCGCCCTGGTCCACGAATAAGAAACCAGACGCCCCCGCACAGGGTGCGGGAAAGGTGGATCCGGCCGCATCCACGGGCACCGATCAAACGGCTAATACCGACGGGGATGTTGACAACGCCCGCGATGATACGAGCAGTTCCGCCCGGAGTAACGACGGCGCGCTTTCCACGTTGGCGCAGAAGAAAACTCGGAAGCTGACCGTGGTGGCGCAGAAGCAGGAAGGGGACTACTTTGGGGAAATCGCCTTGGTACAAAAGGGCGCGAAGCGGACGGCCTATATACGTGCGCAAACCTACTGCGTCGTGGAGAAACTCACGGACGAGGTGTTCGACGACCTGATCAAGAACAAACACCCGGTGGCGTACGAGAAAATCGTCGCCCGCATCGCCAAGTTTCACAACATCCCGCATTTGATCACCGAGTCGCGTTCCGGGTCGAAGCAGAAGGAATCGCGCGCCCCATCGAAGACCAATGTTTCCACCTGCGAGTGAGGGATAGGAAACCGCACACAAGATTTTATTCTCTGAGTAAATGACTGCAAGAACTTTTGTAAGATCAAGTACTATAACTATTTCACTTTGTTCACCTATAAGTCGTGAGTATTCAAGTTCTAGTCAGTGTCGCAATGAATGAAGTAAGTGTCGCAATGAATGATTTGTCACAATATCAAACTAACGAAAATTCTAGCAAGTGTTGCACCTGTAATCTAGTTCTGTACAATCGTGAATTACTTTTCCTAGGGCTTTTCATACTTGCAAAAAGAAATGAAACAAATAGCACGTCGCACCGGAGAGTGAATGTCCTTTCGTTCGTTTTGATAGAAAATGCAGGCATGGCATGGCCTGCTGGCCTCTGATAGATTTTGGTTTTTGGTATGGAACCTTTTTACGTGATGGGCTCCTGATAGACCATCTATGCTTCGTACATCGCAGCATGCTGCCAGCACCACAGCGAATATCCTTTTTGATGCAAGTAGCAGTGGGGCGGTTCTGCGCAGAAGTGTTCTCCACAACGACAACACAGTTTTTTCGACGCCAAACTTCCTGCGCCCGTCGAGTGGGAGTAGTGAGTTTCAACATGGAGAGCGGAGTGACAAGGGCGGAATAAGTTTTCTCATTTGATTTTGCGGACCGATGGATTTTGGAGGACTCATCAGTGCTGTAGAAATTGCTTTATTATTTTCAATTTGACCAAAGCCAAATTATGCCTGTTCCAGCCGTTTCCGTCCGTCCGCCGACGCTTCGTCAGCGGGGCGCGATCGGTTCAAGTTTAAAGCCAACCAGCGCACCCCACGGAAAGGAGGTCGGAGACAGACCGAAAAACGCGACCCCGCCCTTTCGCATCGACGCCCCAGCGGTTGGGCCACGAACAGAGAAAAGTATGGGCAGCAAAACTTTAGCTAAAAGCCCCAGCGACTTCGCGCTCGCGCTCGTGTTTCTGGCGCGTTTGATGTTTGCGGTGATGTTGGCGGCCGAGTTTTACGTCATTGTGCGGGCTCTGCACAAATTCGGGCAGGGTGATTTCGTGCACAGTGTGAAGCCAGTGCGCGCGTTGCTGCTGGTTTACTTTTTCGTCCCGAAGCGACTGGCGCTGCACGCGTTTCTGCTCGCCGTGTGGACCTGTGCCCGTTCCTGGCTGGAAGAAGAAACGTTCGGCGTGGCCATCGTGTTTTTCACGGCGTTAGAACTCTACACACGAATTGTCTTCGGTGCGATGACCGCGTCTTCAGGGTCCTACGTGCCTCGCACGCCGTCCTCGCACGAGCGGTTTGCTCAACGGGTCTGCCGGGCGCGTAAGTTCTTTCGGCGCGGGATCGCTGCGCTGTTTGCGTTTGAGGCCGTGATCTGGTCCCCTCTGGCGCTCGACGGGGTAGTACTGGAAGACGCACTCCGCATGACGGCGGGGAATTATGACAGCACTTTGAATTATGTCGTTGCCCCGCCGGTCGCATTGCTCCTCCAGGTCCAGCGCGTGCGGCGGCGCTGCGTCTTGACGCTGCGTGACGCGGTGTGGACAGGGGTCGGGTTTCTGGATGAGGAGACACAGAAGAAAACCGGAGTGACTAGTACAACTTCTACATCCCACAAGAGCAAGCTTGACGCACCGTCGGAACAACAATTCGTTTTTTCACTGGAAAGCTTTATCCATACACCCGACCGGGTGCTGGTGCAACTGCTGCGAAGTCTTGTCCCAACCGACCTGGCCCCTGCGATCGTGTCGCGAAAGATTCTCAAGTTCCTGCGGTCGGCCCCGGACCCGGCGGTGGACCTGTGGAAATTGGGTCAACCAGAAAGTCCTGCAGACGAAGATGAAACGGAGCAGGACGCAGTAGAGACAGCGGGAAATAAAGGTGCGACGTCGGAGAATGTCAAAGGGATAACGTCGGCGTCTGTATTAAAAAATACGGCAGAGCCAACATCTTCATCTGCGTCCGCTCTTGCCAACGAGGACGAGGAGGAGGAGGAAGAAGAAGAACCCACTTCTGCAGCCGACAGCAAAAGAACTCAAGCGAGACAGGACGCCGAGGCGCGGCAGCGCATTTTGCACATGGCTGCGGCTGCAGGCGTCGATAAAGACTGGAGCCTGGGAAAGGAGAATGAATCGATCAAGATTGCCTTCAACACGTCGCTCAGTGGAGATCATGGCAGGGTGCTCTCGGGAACTGACAACGAGGAGTCGAGCACGACAAGCCAGGACGCGGCGAACCAGGTACTACAGGCACAGGAGAACGAGGAAAAAATGTTGAAAGAACGAGAAGAAGCAGCGGCAAAGCGGCGGCGCCGCAGGGAGAAACGGGAAGAGGCCGCGCGGTACCGACACCCGCTCACGAAATACAGCTACCCTGTCCGAAAAGTGCTAGAGTGGACGCGCGATTGGTTGCACAGCTGCGACTTCAAAGATCTCGAGGACTACCTGCGCTGGCACATCGGAACCCGGGTGCTAGAGGTACTTGTTGTATTGGTGGTCTACGGAGATGAAAGTTGAAGTTTCGTAAATTCATGGTGAAGTAGTTTCATCAATCTGTTTCAAAGATACAACGTTCTGTAATGGAATATCCGACCACAATTCACAGTCCGTCGAGACAAGCGGGTCGCATTGGCAGAAGTTCTTGCGATCGGACACGTGTGCGAGCCTGCGACGCGCGTACCGACGCGTTTCCCTTGATTTTCATCCTGATCGGTACAGTGGAACGTACTGCGTCGAATATCGCGAGGGTGCATTTCGCGTGCTGCAGAACCTTTTGGAGGAACGCAAGAAAGCGATTAAGTGCGATAAATAAGAGCCTCGATGGAATACACCGCTGACTAGCGTGCAGCACGACAACATAACTAATTGAATCCTTTCAAATAAGAAATTCGCAGCCAATTTTGAAGACGATTCTTCATCTTCACACTCTCGCCTCGTCCACGAGCGCACGGGCGTCAGCCATGTTTTTGTCGCAGCTGGAATTCGATTTCGTATGATTCTATCTACGAGGGCGTGATTTGAGGCCCAAATCGAACATGGAATAGCGCATCGGACGAGAGATTCGCCTTTTCGTTTAGAGCAATCGTGCGCGCTTTTGCGCTTGGTCGTCGTGTGCATTGTTGAATGCATGAGCAAGTTCCTTATCGTCGGAGAGCTACTTCCACCACCGCACATGCTTTTAGAGCTACTTCTGGAAGAACTGTGTCTGTTTCCCATGAACAAAGATAGGTCCCTCTGTGGGGGCACCAGATGTACTAGATGCGAGCATAGAAAGATGCTTGCCGGTAGCTGTAAGACCCTCTGAAAGCTCTGCCCATGATGGCTCTGCATCGGCCTTGCGCGTTGGCCTGGCCGCCGTAGAAAAGAGCAAGGGTAGAAGTTCTTTGGAACAAGGTACGACCACCCTATTCGAGCTGCGGGCAGCTTGACAGGCGGAGGGGCCCCTGTTGCTGTAATTGGACGACTCGTAGGACGACCGGGAAGGCCGGCGCGGGGCACAGAGCTACACCCACCAGTCGCAATTCATCCGTCGAGATTAATTTGTTCCGTCAGAAAACCACGTCCGCAGGTTGCAGCTTGCTGCAACCAAACAGACGCACTTGCACCGTTATAACTAAAGAAAATGGCGGAACAGGGCGGCGAAAGGGAAGGCGGAAAGGGGTTCCGAACCTTCATGGTCGATGGCGAGGACTCGGAGAAGAGACTTTGCGGAACAATAACCTTCCCGAGTTTCCAGAAAGAGAGGAACCTAGGCACACTGCTCGGGCACGTCCTTTCTTTTTCTGACGTACCAAGAGGAGACTATTCTTTGGTGGCAGTGGAAAATGGGAGAAAAATTCCGCTCACGGACGATGCGGTCACCGAACAATTTTTCGCCGAAACGCCGGTGGCATATCCAACAATAGAGGTAAAAGTTTTTGTGGGGTATTTATATCCTGTGTGTTTCTCAATGTTGTGAAGTGGAAGAGGAGGTGGAAAGCTGCTGCACATGCATCACCTAGCTGCAGGAGAAATGGAAAACATCATTTGGAAACGTGATCATCATGGTAATATGGACACTCAGGTGCACAAAAGCATAGCAGCCCGGGAGCAGGAGCAACAGCGACAGAAGCGGGTGATGAAAAAAGATCACGTAGACCAACTCGAGCTGGAGAACCGAGACCTTCGAAAAAACGCGAATCTGATGGAGAAGAAGCTCGAAGATTTCAAACAAGAGACAAAGCGGACAACCGATGAACTCCTCGCAAGCTTGCAGCCAATCGAAATGAACACTAAGCGTTTCATGGCCGAAATCGAGAAATCGCTCGCAGAAACGTACTGCTCCCTATTTGTTAGCGGCCTCTACTGCGTTTTTGGTGCGAGGATGCATGATTCATTCATTGAATGACCTGCGTTTGTGTTGGTTGTTGTGCATTTGCACTGGCAATTGATGAAATTTCTCGTGACCTCCACACAACAGGCGAAGCAGCATAGAGACAAAAATCACGGAACTGGAGAAAGGCAGCGCGGAAACTGGGGAGCGGCTGGAGGAAGTTGAGCGAGGCCTGCAAGTGGAAGTAGCACAGCTCACAAATCAGCTCAGCAAGGTTTCAGCCACCGTTACAAAAATAGCGGACGGTAACGACGAAAACGAAGCACAGCGAAACCAGTGGGTCGAAAGCATAAAGAAGGGCTTCGCCACCGTCAAGGTATGACGTATATTTACCCGGGGCGGATGGGCGGTTGTACATATTATGAAAGCCCACTGACGCTGTCAATTCTTTCCATTCTACTTTTTGTGAAAAAGTCTCAGTTGATGCGTTAAGTCTCTTGAGTGAATTTCCTCGAAAATCAAACGTACCACAGGAAAGTGTAAGCGATTCTTCGCGGGACGTCGCACGACTAAAGACCGAGAAAGTTGACGTGGCCAAGTTCCAGGAAACAGTCGATAAGCTGTATTATTCATTTTGCGTTTGGCTTTGCCTGGAGCGTTTTCATCAAATTTTGTGTGTCCACCTCGACCAGTCGCTCGGAGAAGACCCTGAGTGTAGAAGAAGACCATTGCAAAAAAACAACAGGGCGACGCGATGCTCGAAACTAGAAAGCGAGCTAGAGGCCGCCAATGCTGCGCGAGACAAAATGCACCATGAGCTCCTTACCAGAATAGACGCAGACGCCGCCAGCACGGACCAGACAATACGACGATTGGACACTAGAGTCAGGCAAGACATCACCAATATAGAAGCCCGAAGAAAAATTTTCAACGAGGAGCTGGATAAGGTAAAAAGGGGTTCTTGTAGGTCGTTGACTCAGACGTGAACTGGTGCGTGTCTTCTCCTTTCTTTTTCGTAAAATGTCTGCATGCTTTGTCGTGAAGAACCGACGTTGGTACATTGATTGTCATCACTGTGCATGTTTCAATTTCAACACAGCTTCTGGAGCTCCGGTTGTCGGAAATAAAATCCCTCTGCGGAAAAATAGAAGGGGAGAAGGCCGACATACTAGAGCTAGAAGACGCGCGCGCAGGCCTGGCCTCAGAAGTAGAGACCCTCGCAAACGGTATATAATAGCCAAATGTGGTTTATTGTTGCTATCAGCATTTGCCCGTTTTGATCTTAATGTTGGGCGGCCAATTTTTATCAAAGCGTAAGCGACGGCTAGTTTTACCACCGGATTTCTGTCTCTTCCAGGTCTCGGCGTCGTAAACGCGAAGCACGATGTGACCAAGGGGCAGTTCGACGAATTTGTCGAGGTGCACCAGAAGCGCGTAACAGAGTTATCAAAAGGAAAAATCCCCCCTCCCCATATCGAAACGGTATCGCTCCGAAGATTTGTGTTGCTGATTTGAGACCACAAATCACGTCTGTCTTGCAAGAAGACAAACGCAGCGTCTTCCGGGCCATTATGGAAGCGATTTGGCATGCTTTTTGGCCTAGGGGGCAGCCGTTTGTAATGCGAAATAGCTAGACCCAAACACCCCTGCCTAGCCTGAGGATCTGGCTGCGATGCCTTACTGCAAGACAGCGAGAATTTGTGTACGGAAATCCAGCATCACAAATTTCCTTTTCGATATGGGGAGGGGGGATTTTTCCTTACGATAAGAGTTCGAGCAGGAGTTTGGTAAGGCACTGGTGCAGGCGAAGCTCGAATTCCGGCTAGATTCGCAGAAAACGGAGGAGGGCTATCTCGCGTCCACCAAGATGCTCAACATACTACAGAAGGAGCTGGGGGACTTCATAAATCAAAACGGCAGACATGTAAAAAGTTTTGACCACCAGCTGGTGTAGTTGACTTTTTGAAGTTGACATTTAGTACAGCGCAGCTCTCTAACAGCCCGGGTTCTTAGGTTCCCAGAACATTGAAACCGAGGAAATTTTCCTTTCGAGCGTGCACCAATGTGAAAATTATAGAACCCCTTACAACAGATATCTTTGCTGCAACACGAGCACCAAGGGCTCAAGGAGGGCCTGCTGCTTCTGGACAGCGCGAAGAATACGATTACGAAGAACATGAAGACGTTTGCGGGGGACTATCAAGCCTTCGTGGACGAACAGGACCATTGGAACGAGGATGCAACCAAAAAGATCACGAACATCCTGCAAGCGATGCAACCGACCAAGCTGGAGTGGCGCATCGAAAACATCGCGAAGAAACTCGGCAACACGAACAACGTGCCCGTAATCCGATCCGAGTCCTTCCGACTCAATTCCGTACCGGATTTGCGCATGGACTTTTACCCCGAGGGCCTGGACAACCGAATCTACCAGGAAGGCGTCTCCGCGGTGCGCTTCTTCGCCCCCAAGGGCAGTCGATTCAAGTACTGCTGTTGATTTTAATCAATTCTTCTGCATGTGACTGTGCTCAACATCTTCAACGCCAACAAAGCGCCCCGCACGTGTGTGTGAATGCATGACGATCTTCAAATGATCTTTCTGACGTGCGGTTGATTGTTTTTACGCATCGTTTTGTATTGATTTTTTCGCATCGTGATTCATTAAAGAGCCTCCATTTTTCAGGTACGAAGTGTCTATCGGACGAGTTTGCGAAGGCATCAAGGTGTTTGACGGGTCTTCAAGTGACGGCCTATTTTGGATTGACCTTTTCTTTGCGGAGTGGCAGAGCGAAATCAGTCAGGACGCTATCGTGATTGTACTGGAGGTGGTCGAGAACATGAACAATCCCGCGGGAGCACAAAAGGTCATCAAGCTCAAAGAGCCGTAAGAGCAACTTTTCGCTCTCGAAAAACACTACAACAACGACTTGCTTTTACAACTGACGGGCTAGCCTGATCTGAAAAAAGCTTGCTCAACTTTACAATTCGTGAATAATCTTTTCAAACAGACACTTATTGTCAATGACACACTGTTAAAATTCTTACTTGCACACGAAGGGTATTTGCGCAATATCTTCTTCAGATTCTAAATCTTTCTTTTTCGGCTTTGGCTTAGAGCCACACGCTACGGGCTTTCGCTTTTCGCTTCGTGAACTTTTTCCTGGTGATAATTTAACTAAAAGGCTTTTGCTTACTCGTTAATGCTATTGTCCAAATACAGTAGTTTGTGAACTTTACTGAACAATTTCACCGAGCTTCCGGACAGCACTGAGTTTGTGGCGAACACATACGCGGTGGCGCTGAATTGCTTGCTGCGGGCCAGCAAGGAGCTGTCTGGAGCACCGCTTGCGGGTACCGGGCACGACGTGTGTCCAACTTTACCCGCTGAAGATGAACTCGAGTTTCACCTCGGAACCGGCGCACGGAACTGTATCTATACGTAAGAGAACTTTTTTCAGGCATGAAATGCAATCACTGTATGAATGTCTACTAAAGAGGACGAAAGAGAACTTGACGAATGCCCACTAAAACAGGCTTTTCCAATGCACCCGTTTCGCTCTTAGGTTCTCCGAATGAAACAAAACTAACACCCAGTCACCAGCGACACTGCAGATGTAGTTTGAACAACGATATACACATCCTTGTTCGGGGGGAAAACATTTGCAAAGCGATCCTCTTGGCACGACCCGCCACTGGAGATCATTCAACAAAGGAGTGCGTGATAGTAGGTCTACGTTCACCGATGAGGTGGATTTATCCGATCTTCGGTCGTGAGTGTATTTGGTGGGAGTCACGAAGGGGTCCTCAAAAGTGAAAGATGATGAAAGCGACAGAGACACAGCGTACCCTCCGACAGCACAAAGTGAAAGCACGATCACGGTGTAGATCCTTCCTTGATCTTCTAGTAAAATGCGATGAGCCTTCAATTCAGTGGCAGCAAAACAACTGTGTCTGAGATGAACATAGATCCAACCGAGAGACAGCAAATCTAAGGATCCAAATTTTTCGGTACTTCCTACTATAATCGGGGTCAGAAAATAAAGAAGGTAAAGGATCTTGCTGCATCGGCCACAGGCTACACTTTAATTTCTGCTTTTATTTCTCCTGTTGGATAAATAACGGAAGGCAGGGGACGAGCGGATGCGGTTGGTACTGGGTGTCCTAGGACTGCAATGTGCTGTCTATGTATTACCTAGTAGTTTCTCTTAGCAAGAAAGCCACAGTATCACCACCGCAATTGTCCATTGTGCAGAAGAAATATTGACTGGCCCGTGCGACCGAGAAGTAAAATAGTAGTGCTTTATCGTCCCTGAAACATGACTCGTTCTTCCGACGAAGATAGCAGCAGTGAGTCTGGCTGCGACCAAGTGGAACTGCTAGTTGGGATGGGATTTGGCCCAAAGGCGGCAGGAAGGGCATTGCGCGAGGCGCGGTATGACTTTGATGCTGCCCTTGATATGCTGGAGAAAGAGCAAGCCAAAATATCAGCCAGCGCTGAGCAAGCCGGCAATTCTGGCGAAGATGCACCCAAGCGGCGCCGCACCGAGGGCGTGGCTAGTCAGGCCGGAAAGGAGCAGGATGAACCACAGGCAACTACCAACGAGATCTGCAACGAAGAGGACACGGCTGTCTGGCGCTCCTACGTTGATGCAGAGACCGAAATCTGCGACTGGGAAGATGGTCTTCGTCTCTGGAAGGGCCCGGATCGCAAGCTCCTGCTGTTCGGACCGGCCGACGCGGTAGACACTTTGGCGCGCCGCGCCGCGCAGGAGCAGCTTGAGGGTCGAACGCCTGGAACATTGCAGCCCGCAACGAGAAGTTCTGGCGAAGAAAAAAGATTTGTGCGAACACGGCTGGCCGCCGCCTTGCCCGCGGTGGGGACTTGGAAGCGCGACGGAACACTCGCCCTGGAGCCCATTTCTGACTTCGCTTTAGAGCTCTTTCGCAGCACCGTGCCTCGGCGACTGACGGGGACCTCAGAGGCCATAGACAACAAAATTCCGAAAGAACTCCACTGCGGCTCTGCCGTCGCTTCGCATTACGTCGAGGGTTGCCTTGCGGCTTACCGCTCGTTTCGTTCCGTTTTTCACGGGCTGCGCGCGCAGTTGAAGGACGACTTGGAGCGGCTGACGTTCCGAAAAAAGTTAGCGGGTACTACGAACGAAGTCGTGAAGGGCCGGGACGATGCCATCTGCTGGATTGATTTACCAAGTTCCACCGCGAGTGGTTGTAGCAGCTCCGTGACGAGCATGAAGTTTCCGGCGTTGCAAGAGGCAGCAAGGTGGATGGAGGTTTTCGCAGTGCAGCAGTGGCGAGAGTGGGGATATTACGAGCGGAAAAATAAACACCAGAGCACGCTGCTGCGGCCAGCTCGTGCGATGGTGGCGCGGTACCCGGGAAACGGGGCGCGCTATGTGACGCACCGGGACAATGAGTGCCACCTGAACCACCGGGCGCTCACGGTTATCTTGTACCTGTCTGACGACTGTGAAGCGGAGCCGTGGGACGTCGAAAGGGACGGGGGGCAGCTGCGCGCCTACACCGGCCCCACCGGTGACGGGAACAGTTTGTCGTCCTCTTCCACTTCCTGCGATGCCTTCACCAGTCCGGAATCACCGCACGTAGATATTGCCCCGGAATTTGGCACGATGGCGTGCTTCCGAGCGGATCTGGTACCGCACGAAGTAAGGCGGGCGTATCGCGAGCGGACGGCTTTAACGATGTGGTTTCTCGACCTGGACGTCAAAAAGCTGCCTCTCATCGCGGACATGAAATGAGATGCGTAAGTTTGCGGCCAATGTGAAAATAAGGTTGATATTTTGCCAATGCAAAAAGCGACAGCACTGTGCAGATTCTGATTTATCTAGCGACACAGCGTTGAAAAAATAAAGATGGAGTGATGTATCCTCGACAGTCAATTCACATTCCCGCAAATTCATCCAACGTGGAAAACACCCTCAGTTGTTCTGGTGGATCCAGTTACTTACCGGATCGGCAGTTCCGACTTTGCCGCAACGCACTCATTCGGAAAAGTTTTAAATGATGAAGATCGAACGAGAAAAAATCGATCAGCCACATAGTGTACAAAGAAACAGATGGATGAGTCAAAATAGTTGTTTGCTTTTGATGGGTAGACGATCGAAATAAGCCACTCACACTTGGATGTGATCATTTTGGCTATTCGACTAGCTTTTCATGTGACATGCGTTTGTACATTACACGGAAAGATGAACGAACCAGTACCAGGCGACCTGTCCTCTCGAACGAGCATCCTTGAGTTAACTATGATGAGAAAGTAACGAAGTACGACTGTCTTCTCTAAATCATGTCGTACACATATATGGAAACAAGTTAGCATCAACTACACCACGACCACCCCACGAGAAATGGTGCTGCAGGGTGCGGAATCGGACGACCAGCTCGGAAGAGCCGCGCTCGATGACACCAAAATCGCGTTTGGACCCTGTCGCACCCCAGGACAGGAGACTGAATTTGTTTGCGTGTGCGGACTGTTTCGCTTTGACCGGGAGGAGCTGCTGCGAACTACGTTCGCCACCTTGCCGGGGTTCGTCCGGGAATTTCGCCGCGGGCACGCTGCAATTTTGCAGTTCTCGTCTGCAGCAGCCGCTGCGAGAAATAAAGATACTCTGCAAAATCTACGCAGTCGCGACAGACGTGAGGGTGATATCATCTGTGATGCACGACTTTTTCAAGCCGCAGCATCTAGCATCTCCTCGTCGTCGCGTGGCGCAGCTTCAGAGGACGTCGACAGTGTTTCTTCCTCCTCTACCCGGCCGGGCAGTAGCGAAGCATCACCTATAATATCGCCTGATGGCGGCGGAAGGGACACCAGGGAGCCTGAGTTAACGACTCCTTCAACGAGACAAAAGCAAGATGAGCCGACGTTTTATTCCAGCAATTATTATACTAGGCTTACTGATCATGACCACACGACGGCAGTAAAAATCCAGGAAGATCCATGCAGCCGACCACTGTTCAACAAAGTGAGTTTCTGCGCGCTCGTGGCCAACCCGAAACCGGCGAAGAGCGTGCGAAACTCGGAGCCGACCCGTCCCCCGCACGGCGCATACACTTGGGCCACATTGCCGGCGGAAAAACGCCCGATCGGACTGTCTCTGGAGGAGGATTTCGTGTCCGAGGCCGAGGAAGCAGCGCTGGTGGAGTGGCTGTCCGCGCGGTCGTGGGACACCACCTTGAAGCGGCGGGTGCAGCATTTCGGAATGCGCTTCGACTACTTGAGCCTCCACCCGGAACAAGTCGATGACGCGAATAAAGGCGAGAACAGTATTCCCTTCGAGTTGTCCCTGAGTAGTCGTTTTTCGTTCCCTGGCCAGTACAACCAGGTGACCGTGAACGAATATCCCGCCGGCGTCGGGATCGCCCCGCACGTGGAGACGCATTCGTGTTTTGAGGAGGGCTTCTGCAGCGTGTCGCTGCTCGGCGGAATCGTCATGGATTTTCGGAGGCGAAAAGACACTTTCGGGTTGGACGAAAGGCAAATGGCGAACGTAGAAACTCTTCCGAATAATGCGGAAGAAGAAGTCGTGTCGCTCTATCTGCCTCCGCGCTCGCGTGTGACCTTCCACGGGGAGGCGCGGTTCGCCTGGCGACATGGCATTGCAAGTCGCACCAGCGATATGGTGAATGGGGTGGTAATACCCGAGCGCCAGTACCGGATCAGCCTGACCTATCGCAAAGTCAAGAGTATCCCGTTCTGCGATTGCCCCTATGTTTGGCTGTGCAATCATCAGAATCCCGGTTCCATGCAGCTCCCCAAACGAAAGTTAGCCGCTGCCGCCCTCGCTCGGCAAGCGGCAGACGAAGTATAGTGCGAGATGAAAATGCTAAAGTAGACGAATGAACAGTAAGTACTTCTGTGAGATTTAGTACATCCCCAGCGACAGCACCAGCAGAGAATCAAAATTTCGATCGAGCGATAAGGCTATTCTCGCACCACCAAGCGTGGTCTCGACATAGTACGAGCTTGTTATGTCATCGATGAGTTGTGTTCTGCTCTTCGCTGAAAGCGAACTCGATTTTGCTTCGCCGCGCGCTTTTGTGCTGTGCGTTATTTTCTAGATCGCATTGCGTTGAAAATGGTGCTGAAGGTTCGCCATAGACTGGAACTGAGGGAATTGCTTTGGTTCGGCTTTTCGAACGAAATTTGGCTCTCGTTCATCATCTCGTGGTCGACACACAAACTCATTTTCGCCGCAGCTGCGACGATGCTGATGAAGATGAAAGCAAGCGTTTCAAGTTCAAGCATTTCTTCCCTCTTTCGTACCCTCTTTGCCAACTTAATTTTGAATTTTCCGTACTTCTAGCGTTTCTTTGTTTATTTTAGCTTTTCTTGCGTCTTGATGCAAGAAAAGCACGACCTATGTACCGAAGACCTTCAACCGCTCCTATGAGGCAGCGATTAGTAAATTAGAACTAGAAAGTTATTTCAACCATCGATCAAAAATGAGCGTCGATGAGGCGGATCGACCAGGCCGTCGCAAGCGGCAGCAGCCTCCGACTTGGTTGATGAACAGTGACAGTGACAACCTGTTTGGGGATGGCGCCACCGCTTTCGGAGGAGACCGGGTTCTTGCGGAAGAGCGACGACGGGCGTCGTTGTCCAGCAAGGACAGTATGTCGGCGGAACAACCAAGCCAGGACGAACTGCAGGTGAAAGAACTGATGGCCGGGCTCTCGCTCCATGCAGGGGGAGGGAAGATGAGAGCAGTGCCTCCGTCGAACAGGGAAGAGCGGTCCCTGTCAGCAGGTTCCAGTCTTTTTGAGGACTCCAACCTGCAGCAAGCCGCCGACGGCAGCGGGACTGCAGCTGCGGATTGTCCGGAAAAGGAAGTAGAAGAGGCGGGAAAAGCAACTTCTGGTCCTAACGCAGATGAAGACGAGCAAAGCCCCCACTCGACCAAATTCACAACCATGTTCGGGACTCACTACCCCGATGACTCCGACAGCGCGACCCGGGCGTCCACAAAGGAGCGAGCGGGTGTTCTTTTTAGCGGGGGTTCTGCGAGTTCAAGCGCTACTAGTAGCGCAGCGTCCTCCTCGTGCAGCGAGGAGCTGCCCGAGGCAGATGTTGCGCCGCCCTTGGCCAGCTACCCTCGGCTGGAGGATGAGATCGGGTTTGATTCCCCGCAAGTAGACCCGAGCAGCCCGGTCGAGGACGGCGGGGCATCGAAAAAGGGTGACGAGTCCAGCTTGCTGTTTCAGAGTGCAGAGCATGCGGCCGCCGATGCTAGCAGGTTCGTCACGGAAGCCGGTCGGGGGGTCTTGGCCGCCGCAAGTAGTCCCATAGACTCAGCGGCCTGTGCGGCAAAACTCGTCGACCAGAGCACCGAGGAAGATAATTGTGTTTTGGGAGCAGGCACGAAGCCGACCACGAACATATTCGGTGGGGGTTCCACGCCCCTGTCGTTCTCGCCGGTTGACAACAATCACTTCGGCGCTGCGGCTACACTTTTTGGAAAACCGGTGGCCAAGAGTTCCAGCTCCGCTTCCAGCCTGTTCGGAGGCGGCTTTGACTTGGTGGATAAAAACAAAAGTCTTGTTTCGCAGACCTCCGAAAGTATTTTCGGGAACCAGGAAGCACTATTTAGCTCGTACGCGGAGAAGAAGAAGTCCATTTTCGGAAGCACAACCACCGCGACCGCAGGAGGGACAGTATTTGGGACTGGGTTTCATGAGCAGCCCGCCCTGTTCGGCTCTGCAGCAAGCTCCTCAGCGACGGCCAAATCGGTTTTTGGCTTCGCGGCGAAGGAGTGCGCCTCGTCGGGGGAAGCAGCTCCTGTTGATCAAGTAGCGCCCTCCAGTGCTCTGAGCGGTCCTAGGAAGATGGCAGCCTCATCCCCGGCTTCACCAGAAGAAGACCAAGACGCTCTCTTCGCCTCGCGCGTGAGCAGCAAAGATTCCGTGGTGGAGCTGACTATCGGGGAACCGCCGCGGGAAGTGCCTGAGGTGCGTCAGCCCAGCGCACTTAGACCGAGCTTGGGTTCGACCCTATCCACCCGGTTCGGCCGTCATTCGCAGGACGCTTCAGCTATGCGCGCGTATTCACCACGACGGGACCAAGAGGAGCAGCCAGGGGGAGAAGGGATTTTTACTAGCAAAAGCGCGGAACACCAAAGCGGTACTAACCAGGGGGACCACGCACAAGGGAACGCAGAAACCAGTGCGTTCTCGCAAATGTCCACGAGTCACTTGGTGGACGCGGAAAGCCGCAGAGAAGAAGACGGACACGCGCTCCTGCACTCGGCCGCGAGTCCGCTGGATGGGATGAGCGCCATGTCGCCGAGCCCGATCGACCATGCGTGGAGTCCGTCACCATATGCGGGCATGGGAGGGCAGGTGCGACTTGTGCCCAGCCACCTGGACGACGCGTACGATGCGGACCTCGTCACGCCGGAGGTGCAGAACAACAAAAGTAGCGACAGCGAGATTTCGTCAGGGGGGCTGGTGGTGTCGGCGGAGGATGCCGAGGCGGAGGTCCGAAAATCGGAGGGGCCAGCAGACCGGAAGGCCGAGCTTGTTGTACCGGAGCGGCAGGAAGCGAGGAGCTCGTCGGAGAAGCGTACTCCACCAGCCGGAGAGCCAGAAGAGCTTTCGGCGTTCGAAGCCGCTTCAGAATTGGAAGCTGCGCAGATTCAAAATACCGACATGTCTTCGCTTCTGGTGGACAGCGGGGCAGCTGCCCCTGCGATCACGGCGTCCACGGGGGAAGCGCGGGGTGGAGCGCAAGACCACGGAAAAATTCGCGCCGCTGCAGAAGTAGGGGAAGACGACGCCATGGAAGTGACTGCCGCGGAAGATGTGGAAGGGGCGTCTTCACAGCCTGAAGACAAGGACGCGGAGCCCGTACCTGTTGGTGTTGAAGCTGCAGTTGTAGTTCCCACGACTTCGCTTCTCGTAGACGAAATTCCGCGGAAGGCGAGCACTAGTGTGAATGGTGATCCACCATTAGAACCCACGTCGCCGCCACGTAAAGCACGAGCGGAGGGGAAGTCGCATCAAGCTCTGAAGTGCACACCGGAAAAGCCGGCCGCAGGGGGCCTGTTCCCTGTTGTCAGCGCTGCGGAGCCACCAGTGGAAGTGACTGGGTTATTTCGTCGTTCCAGTTCCAAGGGCCGACTTTCCGACGCGAACCGACTGTCACTGGCCTCTGCCTGCCCCGTCGGCGCAGATTCAAAGCCCGCGCCGACTTCGGCAAAGGCCAAGACCGCGTCTGTCTCAGCAGCAGCACCACCACCGGAAGGCTCGCCAATACAGGAGATCAACACTCCAGGGTACACCGCATTCGTCGAGGAAACGGGGAGTAAGAAAGCACGGCCCGAGGAGCGAGCAGAAGCAGAACCCAAGAAACAGACCAGCAACCGCACGAGTTTGGGCACTGAAGACGTGCCTGTGGGCGGAGGTCGACAAAACCATACGCTACCGCCGGAAACAGTGGCCGAGAAGGATTTTTCAAAGATTCCGCTGAAGACGCGGCTGGAATCCAAGGACCTGAAGGAGCGCGTCTCCGCCTGGCAGGCGATTCTCGCAAACCCCGCCGCAAAGATGCCCGGGCACCTCGATCGCGTCGCCACCGAGCAGCTTCGCGGGGCGTACGAGCCGGCGCTGAACGGCGCGATCGCGTACGCAAAGAGCCTTCCGGCGAAGGACTGCGCGGACAGCGACATTCGGGCGGCGTTTTTGCGCATGACCGGCGCCCTCTTGGAGCACAAGCAGCTGGGCCAGCCAAAATTGGAGGATCAGCTGAAGCAACTGTGGATCGCGGTTACCGAGGTTGTGGAGTGCGGGGACGTGCTGGGGCAGCTTGCGGGCTTGTTGCAAGGCTGGAGCGAGAAAACAACGGTGACGAAGACCCACACGACCGCCAAAGTGGCAGCGATAAAGAAGCAGCTCAACACAGGGCTTGGGCTGTTTGCCGAGGTGGTTACGGAGTTTGGCATGCAAAAGTGCGGCGAGACCAATCTGCGGTTGCTCGCACGGGTCGCGGGGCGCTTCGTGGCGGATCGCGTTTTGCGGACGAACTGCTACGCTGCACTGGTAGAGGTGGAGCGGTTGGTTGGTGAGCGCGTGCTTGCAGAGTGGACGTGCGGCCTACTTTCGGAGCCACAGCGGAAAGAGTTGCCCTCCCAGCGGAATCAGCGCAACAAGGGGAAGCCGCTGAATGCTCCGGTCCGGAAATATCGCCGGGAAACAACGTCGGCAAGCAGAAGTGGCACCAGCAGTGGTGCACCGCAGCAGGGAGCTGCGGCGCCGAAAGACAAAACCCCGGATCAGTCGGCGGGGACGACGCGTTTTTTAGCAAGTGGTGCAACGGCCGCCCCATCCGTGGACGGTTGTTCCGCGACATCACCGCAACTGCTGTCCAACGCAGCGACCACTGCGTCTACCTCGGTCAACGGAGTAACAGTCGGTTCGGGCTCCGCGTCTTCTTCGCGGGCCCCCGCCGTCCCGCTGCCCGAAGAAGAGTTCGACTTGATGGCGCAGCTGCCCCGGAGATACCAACATGCGGGAATCGACGCCATGCACACCGGAAAAGAGAAGAAGGAGTACTTCGAGGTCGTGTCGCAGCTGCTCTCGAAGCCGCGGCGGATAAAGTCCACCCCTGAACTAGCGCTGCTGCTTTCCAACATTTGCAAGGTACTGAAAGCGGAACAAAATCACCTAGTGCTTACCGAGGCGGCCTTCATCGTGGGCGGCCTGGCCGGGGGGCTCGGCAGAAACTTTGACCGCCACGGTCGGCAGGTGCTGCGAAGCTGCCTCGGACGGATGAACGACAAGACGACGTGGAAACTTCTGGAAGAGCCGGCGTGGCAAGTCTGGCAGGCGGGCGTGGTGTCTCTGTCCAGGCTGCTAGAGGATTTGGGTGGGAAGTTCACGGATACCAGTCCGAACGCGCGTAGCATGTCATTCCTCTTCTTGCTTCGAA